TCTTATAATTACTGCCATCATTGATACCATTGATCCGAAGAAGACATACAAACCAATACGCAATCATTATCCTCAATTTCTAATATACATTTCTCTTTAAAGTATATAAAAATCGTACATGTAAATGAATATTAAAAAAATTGCTGAGTTTGTAATTATTTGTCATCACGCCTTGACCTGCCCAACGGTGAAATCATGAAGGTTGGTGTGCATATGTTTTTCTTTGTTTGCTAGATAGTTGACTTAATAGTCAACGAGTCAGACTCAACGAAACTAATCATAATTGTAGAATGTGCCATTTTCTAATTACGTATAATCAAATTAACGATTTTGATTTGTTGACAAAATTTCATTGGTAGGGTTTCTGATAAATGTTTGATTTGTATGATTTTGACCCCCAAAAAAAAAGTTTGAATTTAGACATAATCTTTTTAATTTTTCAACAATTAATATCTTATACTGTCTATTTGTTTTAAAAAAACATTAAGACACTTATCAACTATCATTGAGTCTAGCTACCTTTACGTGTTACTTTGAGAATGTTGGTGATTGCATGAAATTATAATCCAAATTATTTGCTGAACGTGTTGAGTTACTATTCGATAACATGGTGTAAATTTTTCGTGTTCAGTCATTCATGAAATAATTAGAAGTTGGTGCATGGTTATAGTACACCAATATTAAAGCCATGTAATAATTTCGTGTATCATAATTAACGATAATGAGCTTTCTAATTAGCATGAGCGTAAACTATATATCGTCGTATATATATAGTATTGACAACATTAAGCGATTCTCACAATTTTCTGCAAAGCCATATCCAACAAGGCAACAATACATTAGTCGAATATCTAATTTAATAAAGTCTCCTCAAAATATTGTCGATCGAATATGGTTTTGATCGGGTCTATCATTGTATATTGCCTGGTTACACAATGAACTAATGACTATATAAAGCTCATATGAAGCATGATGGAGTGTATTTTTCTCTAATGTGGCTTTCAAACGTAATAGCTAATAAGTTATGTTCTCATCGGACAAGAAACTGCCAAGAGAAACAAACCTCTCCACGTGGTTTAATCTCTAGGGCTTTTCTGTAATGATTAGTGTTACAAAAGACCTCTAACTTTGAAGAACTCTGTCTTATTAAAGAGGTTCATGCCACGTGGATCCTTGTTTACACGATTGGAACAATTTATGATCAGTGTTCTATAAATTTGATGCATAGCCGATGAATACTATATTAGAAGATTAAGATTCATCTTATTCATCATTTATACCTTCTTAACTCACTAATTATAGATATACTAGTTGGGTATTCAGAAATTAATTATATATAGGTGAAATTACCAAACTTTCTGCCACCTTTGTCATGCGTATGTAGAATAGTATAATTGGTTGTCTAGTCCATTTTTATACATTTTATCACAAAAAATTATTAACTCTATATATAAATTTTAGTATTTTAAAACAAATAAAACAAATATAGGTAATTGGGCATGAATCAACAAGTGTGGACCTCTACACATGTTACAAAAGTCTTTAGATATATCTGGAAATCCTTCTTCTAGAATACAACCTCTAAAATATAACATTGTGTGTGCATATTAAACTACACAACATCAGTGTATATATATTATACTATCTACACTTCATAATGGTAACGTGCAATTTCAGCAGGATCTATATATGAAAAGATTTCTTTTGACATTTTCTTTTAATTACCATGATGCAAAATTACATTTTAAAGTGATAACACTATAAACGATCATACATTGGTCATTTATTTGCAAAACTGACGGGAAAAAAAATCTTCATTATTTTGGTTCATTTATCGGATAACTTTTTCAAGTTAATTAAAATATATATTAGTACATTTTTATTCCCACACACCAAAAGATGCACAACTAAGTTAGAATTTTCCACCATTTTGTTTTTTTTTTGTTTTTTTTTTTGGTACCAATTTTAACTATGCATATGATTATTTACCAAACAAGGGCTACTTTAATATTAAACAAAATAAAGTCCTTGTTGTTCTAAAGTTTTCTATGTTCCACTTACGGTAGGTGGCCAATAGGAACTCACCAAAACGTACACATAAAAATATTTAAAAATTTCATGTCAAACTTCACAACCAAATTGTATTCATTTCCGTTGTAATAATAGACTACTCAAAAGATTTCATATCAAAGATATAATATTGAGACATACATTATATGGTCATTTTGTGGCCAAGGAAAAATAAATCAGACTAATTTTTTATTAATTTGGATCAAAATATAAGTTCCAAACTTCCAATTCATGTATATATTGATGATCCACACAGTGTTACCATTCATGTAAGGTGGGACAAAAATAATGAAACTTTTTCGGATCACGCACTTTACTTTTGCTTTACTTCTATACTTCCTTTCAACAACACAAATTAAAGAATTATTAAAAAAAAAAACTCATTGCACATTTTTCCAAATTTTATTAATAAACTTTTGCTGAAAACAAACTTTGCCCTAAAGTCCCAAACCTCAGCCGCAGACAAATGAAAATTTGATGAACTTACCTAAAGGTGTACCATAATCGTCCTATAACTTACCTATTTAGATCTTAAAACATTATTTTGTAACTTGTTTGGGACGAAACTATATAACATATATGCTTTGGTTTCGGACACGAGAAGATGTATGGATTTTGACCCAGAATCTTTTTGATTATTCAAAAAAAAAAACATTATTTTGTTCATTAGTTAGTCAGTAGTTACTAAAATATTTATCTAGTTATTAAGAAGACTATTAACTATTATAAAGTTAAACTGTAAAAACCAATTCTCTAGAGAAAGTTACATTTTACAACACCAAAATTCAACTTAAATCAGTTTCATCATATATGAACTTTTGAAATGTTTACTAAAATCCTATATAAAAATATTAGATGTTACAAAAAAAATAAAAATAAACAATTGGTTAAGCAAATATGCTTTGCATGCAACTATAGTATACAGAAAAAAAAATCCTGTAATATATTAAAAGACTAACATAGGCATTGTACTTGACATAACATTTACACTGTGGCCATGGAAACCGATTTTAATTCTCAAATCGACTCTTAGCTAAAAAAAGAAAATTCTCACATCAACTCTTTTGCTAAGTTTGCTGTTTGAAAATTTTCTGAAGACGAACACACACAACGAAGTGGAATATTAATGAGTTTTTAAAAAAAAAATTAAAACGAATTTAGAAATGAGTGATGTTAATGTTATATTCAAAAATAGTAATATCACAAAATATTAAGAACGGGATAAGTTAAAACGGGATGAGACGACCCACCACATGACCGAACAGCACACTGTGAGATCAATGATCGAAGCCTATCTCACGCCCGACCATCGCCCGCCACGTCATCACATTCCATTTTGTTGGCGGGACCTTTGTTCCACTAATACTGGCTCAAAATTCTATTCATCTTATTTTTCTTATATAAATTTATCTAAGATGTGTTGTATTTTCTTTTTCTAATTTTTAAATGCAAATTGGTATATATCATAAGATTAAGATTAAAATAAGGATATTGATGATATACACGAACTCACTGCTTCCATTTAGTTAGGTAAATAACTTTTAACCTTTTAATGTTATTCACTCAAATTTGAGTGGCAGCAAAACTGCAATTATACATTATATGATTGCAATGGTTTTGTGTTTTTGGACACTACCATATTACCGTTTTCTCACAATACTATGATAATAAATGTATCAATGGCGAATATATATATATATAGTGGAGGAAACAAATTGATTTGTAGATTCAATGTTTCATGCAAAGTAAAAAGAACATACCTAAGTCTCAGAGTAACTATGCCATGTTTCTTGAGGATTCTTAGACACTCATGTTAACATTTAGCCTACACGAAATTAACTGGACCATGCATAGAACATGACCGACTTAAGTATTACGCATAATATATATGAGATTTAATTACTCTTGAATTTGCCAAAGGATGAAATTGTTCAAAGAGGAATGTGTGTTCCCTACTATACTATATATATGTAGCAGTTTATAGAGCACAATAGTTATATTTTTGCAAAATATATATATATATATATATATATATATGTGTGTGTGTGTGTTATATATAAATATATATATATATATATATGTGTGTGTGTTATATATATATATTTGACGGGTTCGTCTTCAAGAAGATACACGCACTTTGACAATTATTAAGGGATGTCTCCACATCCATTTTCGTTGTAATGTGATTATATGAACACAAATACATATATATATATATATATATGTATATTCTTAAAGTGACTTTTTGTATATGACTTTTGAAGTCTTTCAAACTTTTTCTTTGAATTACAATTCCAAAGACGAGTTAAAATATCTCACCAGTTCAACTTCACCAGCTACAACTAGTCACTGGTAAAACAAAAGCTATAGTAATTAAGTAGTAACCAGTCCAACATCATTTATATATTCATGATCTCTCTTTCATGCGTTGTTAAAACAACTCTATCTTTAGAAAAAATTATATTTTAAAATAAATAATAATAATTTCTGACTATTGAGCTAGTTGCATAAGTAATTAAACAAAATTTTGTTATGTTTGTAATAAAACGTTTAATGTTCAACCGTTCATAGAAAAAGATATTAAAAGAGTATATTTCAAAAACTTTGGACAGTCTCCATCAAGAGCTGGTGGGTGGTAATGGAGGTTGCCTCTCTCTCTTTCAAAATCTTGCTTGAGCCTATAGTACTTATTCGCCTCTCTTTCTCCCCCGAAGCTTTTGCAACAAATAAAGTCTCTCTATCTCTCACTTCTTGTGTTATATCAAAGGACATAGAGAGACTATGATTGAGAAGGACACATAGAGAGAGAGGGAGACAAAGTAGTATAGATTATTAGGACACGGTTGTCTACTTTTTCATGTGTCTTCTTCCTCTTCTTCTTTCTCTCTCTCTCTCTTTCTTATTCTTATTTATCATCATCACCGTTTGATCTCTCTTTATTTAACCCTACTCTCTTTCTCTTTGTCCCTCCTCTCTCTCCCCCTGTCTTTAAATCTCTGACTCTTGGGATCCGATCTCTTTCCGGTGGCTCTTCCCGATGATAACTGTCAAATCTTGTCCATTTACATAAAATCTCCTTTTAGGGTTTTTTTCTCTCTCTCTCTAGCTCTGATGAGTACTTTATAGTGTATTTCATGAAGTGTTCGATCCTTTTTTACCAAGTACAAGAGGAAGATTCAATAGAGTCTAGTCACACACAATAACTCAAATCCTGAGCCTTTTGAAGGGCTTTGAGTTAAACCAGCCTGTTTTTGAGTTTTTTTTTGAGGTATAAACCCTAACTTTTTCTGAAGATTCTACTCTACACTCATCTTCTTTATTTCTATGTTTTTGGAATTTTTTTTCCTCAGATATTTATACAATTTTATTTTCTTGAACATTGTTGCGCTTTTTAATCATTTTCATCATTATAATGGTCATGATCATCGTCCTCTTATCCTACTCAATGTTGCTGATGCTACAAGTTTAGCAAAATATCATCCTTAAGAGACTCGTGGGCTAGGTTTTTCCCCATGATTTTGCTTTTTGATTGGTTACTTAAAGAGTTATTTTATTAAAGGATGATAATGCTAGAGATCATATTTCTCATATTTTTTTTCTCTTCTTCTTGACTATATATATGTACTAATATAGGCTATCTTTGCAAGATTATGGTTAATTGGAAACTAGTGATTTATTTTATATAATCCTTATTCCATCTTCAAGAATGCTTTGGATCTAAACCATTTAATTGGCTTAATCAACTATATTTATTTTCCTAAAGATGTATAGATATTTTCTTGTTTTAACAAAATTCAAAGCCACAATCTTGTACACGTAATTTAGTAGGGAAATATATACTACACACATGCATGAATATTTTAAATCTACATTTACATATGTTTAAATTATTGTTTGCTATTTTTAAACAAGTAGGAAATATAACCCTAATTAGTTTAAATGGAACGATTAGTCAAATGCACTAGCTAGATCATATAGTAAACAAAAGCTTGAACACCAAACACTTTTTTTTTTCTTTCACTAACATTTTCCTATCAGCTTAGATGCTGATAATATTTATTTTGTTTAAACGATAGGTGAAGTAAATTGGTATAGCGATTCTTGGATTTTACTTTCATGATCCATAATTTAACAGTCCTTGTTTCATATCATATTCAGGCGGCTAATCTTAATACGTACGGAAAAATAAAGATTAAAGGATGAATTCATTTTCACAAGTACCACCTGGCTTCAGATTTCATCCAACTGATGAAGAACTTGTAGACTACTACCTGAGGAAAAAAGTTGCATCAAAGAGGATAGAAATCGATTTTATCAAGGACGTTGATCTTTACAAGATTGAGCCATGGGATCTCCAAGGTTTAGCCGTAAAAACATATCATCTATCTCCAGTGCATGATGATCCATATTTTGATAGAAAGGCTGACGATTGTTTTGTTTTCTTTGTGATAATTTAGAGTTATGCAAGATAGGAAACGAAGAGCAAAGCGAATGGTACTTCTTTAGCCATAAAGACAAGAAGTATCCCACGGGAACCCGAACCAATAGAGCGACCAAAGCAGGATTCTGGAAAGCCACCGGAAGAGACAAGGCTATATATATAAGACATAGCCTTATCGGTATGAGGAAAACACTAGTGTTTTATAAAGGACGAGCCCCAAATGGACAAAAATCTGACTGGATCATGCACGAATATCGCTTAGAAACAAATGAAAATGGAACCCCTCAGGTATATATATACGTTGGCCCAAGTTCAGACATCTTAAGTTATACTTTACTTGCCTATATATATGTTCTCTCTTAAGTACTAGAAGAAATGTGTAATTCACTTGTAAAATGCATTGGAGTAGTTCACATTAAGACTCATAACTTCTATGTCCAATAGATCCAAACATACATATATATTATGTGCTAAATTTTTTACTTTTGTAAGGAAGAAAACACATAAATAAGTGATGGACAAGTGTGTGCATTAACGATTTTGTAATGTGATATGTTTGTAGGAAGAAGGATGGGTGGTATGTAGGGTGTTCAAGAAGAAATTGGCGGCGACAGAGAGGAAAATGGGAGGTTACGATTCATCGCCATCACAGTGGTATGATGATCAGCTCTCTTTTATGGCCTCCGAGTTTGATTCTAGTTCTTCACAACAGTTTCTTCCCAGTCACCATTATAACCGCCACCATCCCCATCAGCAGACATTGCCTTGTGGCCTTAATGTGTCTTCAGCTTATGCATACAACAACAACAACCCTAACTTGCAATGCAAGCAAGAGCTCGAGTTACATTACAATCATATGGTACAACATCAACAACAAAACCATCATCTTCGAGAATCTATGTTCCTCCAGCTTCCTCAGCTCGAAAGCCCTAATAGTAATGGCAGCTCTTTACCTTATGGATCAAGCAACACCAGTAAAAACACAAGAAATATTGGTAACTTGCAGCAATCATCAAATCTCTCTCATGATGAACAATTACAACAGGGGAATCAAAGTTTTAGCTCTCTTTATTACGATCAAGGAGTAGACCAAGTGACTACTGATTGGAGAGTTCTCGATAAATTCGTTGCTTCACAGCTTAGCAATGAAGAGGCTGCAGCTTCTGCTTCTGCTTCTTCTCACAAAAACAATGTCAAGATCGACACGAGCAACGCTGCTTACGATCAAGTGATAGATGAGGGAATACATTTGCCGGAGAATGATTCTGAAAGGGTTGTTGAAATGGGAGAAGGATATACAAATTCTCATGCTGCTTCTACTTCTTCGAGTTGTCAGATTGATCTCTGGAAATAGTGATAAAAGTGAAGAAGATGCATGGATGAATATATATGAAAATTTACATATGCGAACACTACTAGCCGTGTAGATGATGGTGGACACAGTTTTATACTTAAAGATGGAAGGGGGAAAACAAGGAGTTATTTCCCGGATTTATGGAGGTTTTGTACATAATAAAAACCTATAAACTATATGGTATTTTCTTTTTATTACATTATTGATCTATATGTTATACGTACACATGTATGCGTGCATGTATGGATGTATGTAATAAATCAATGTATGCATCCTTAATTTTATATATAGACCATATATGAGTTATGATTAAAACGTGAGACCAATTTTGTATATATGAAGGACACCTACTTCTTAATAAAAATTATACTTCTAATTATGTTGTTAAGTCCAAATGATAATAATAGCAAAATTTTGATACCACTACATATTACTACTTAAATTCTTCAAAAACAAATTAATTATAAAGGTAACATTATAATTTGCTTACTACTAATTTTATTAGACATCATTATATATTGTTCTCTTACTTAAGAGAAAAAAAAAACAAGAACATAGTATAAAAAACAAATGTTTGACTTATATCATATAAATGCAGAAAACAATATATAAACTCATTCTTATATGAAATATACAAAAAAAATAGTCAGAAGTAAACCATCAATTGACTTGAATTTGGATGGACGACTTACATGCTTTGAGTTGTCTTTGTTCATGAGAAGAACTTGCAAGAAGCTTGAAGAGTTAATATGTGAAACCCAGAGAAAAAGTGTGAAGGAGAGAAGTAAATGTGGCATGGAGAAGATTAGTGCATTTGGAAAAGAGAAAAAATGGTTATGACATGTTGGCTCGATCGAGAATATAACATATATAGAGAGACAAGCCGTGTTAGAAAAGGAAGATAGCAAAAGCGTGCTTTGTCATTTGGTATTTTGTAATTATAATGTTTATTTCAAAGGAGGCAGAAAAGACAATATTACTGTATATTACTATACTGTATGTTAATAAAGTTCAAATTAGAGCATCACTAATGGCTACTTAAGTACTTATGCTATGTATAATCAGAATGATCAGTTCATAAGGAAACATCATTATTTGGTTGTGATCTGTGGGATTCACACCCGACACGTTTCCGATCCGGTCGAAGCGAAACCCTATTTTATCTTCCTAAACAATATGCGAACTTAACCGTGAGCTGGTAAGATGAAACTTGGTGTTCAAGTATGAAATTGTAAGTCGATTATGCTGGTACAATTAATTGGTTTACTTTGGTACGACCGGCCAAGTACTATATATTGTAAAGCGCATGTAGCCCTATTTCATAAACCTAATCACAAAACGAAATCTTTTCTTTATTTGTTTTCCTCTCCGTGACAGCACAAGCTTTTCACAAAAGAGCTTGGGAGATTAGAACGAGATACGCAAAAGAAGAGTCCACGAATCATCTCTAAGTCCAGCAAATTCGTAAGAGGTCCCTAAAGAATTTCTCTGATGGTCGCCTATTTTTTCTCGCCTTGTAAACCTTAAACTTTGGTGTTTCGTAACCTTAGGGTTCATGGCTGTGGTAAGACCCGCCAAGTGCAGACGTTGACTTCATGGGCACTATTTCTGACTACTGCATAAGCACTTGGAATAGTGAACAGAGAGGTTGAAACTCTGATTTCATCTTTATTTCTTTTTGCTGTTTTCAGTGCTTTTGTATTTTGTTGATTAGATTGCTTCTTTGTTGCTGACAGATTGGTCTCGACTAGTGGTAATGTTTGAGTGTCTAGCGTTGTGCATAGAAAACAAGTGGTTTTTCACAGTTGAGCTTTGGGTTGTGTTGAAAGAATCAAAATTTCCAAATGTTTCCAGTGTATATAGTATGTGCGGTTGTGATTAGAGAACAAAAGCTTTGGATTTGGTTTTTGTTAAAGTATAAGATGTTAAGTTCTGATCAGTGTTGTGGGATTATAGAACAGATTGTTTTGCTCTATATATTGTACTACGTACATATAAGATGTAATATTCATTGCCTTAGTTTTAATACCTTGCTTGCATCTCACTAGTAGCTTATGGGATACAACACTATCTTTACTGATTAGTTGAGACTTGAGAGAGGATTATGTCGTAATGATGGATAACATTTTTTATTTTATTTTACTTAAGAATAATTAATAAAAACTGATCATTCCTATTAGAAATTGATATAGCTTAGCTATATGAATGATCAGTTCATAAAGAAACATCATGATTTGGGCGTGCTCTGTGGGATTGACGTACACCCCTATACTCTTCCGTTTTAAGCGAAGAACAAATAATAAAATTGACCACTATTAGAGCATGTCCAATGCAAGTTTTTAATTTAAAGTTCTTGGTAATTTTTTGATAATAAATTGTGCACTTTTTAAAAATAAGAACTTTTAAAAATTTTCTATTTCCAATGGTAAAACTCTAATTGGAGTTCTTAAAAACTAAAATTTGAAAACTAAAATTTTATAAAACAGGAAAATTATTGAGAATTTTTGAGAAATACCCTTTTAGTGTATTTTTCAAAAATACCTATCTATCTATTTTCATAAATACCCCTGTTTAAATATGAAAATTATAAAGTTTTATATGATATATAAGGTACTTTTACATAATAACTACTACTGAGATTCAATATAAATATTTTATAATGTTTTAAAAAGTTTTAAATTGTTTTTACAGATTTTAAAAGGTTTTTAAAGGAGTTTAAAAGGTTTTTATAAGTTACCTTTACGCTATTTATAAAAACTATATAAAAGTTTCTACGCATACAAAGGTAATTTGTGTGTATAATTATAAGTTTACACACATATTTTGATAAATTTCAACATTTTCAGTGGTTTTTTTTTATAAAGTTTGAAAAAAGAGTTAAAAAGTGATATTTGAAAAGAGTTATTTTTAAAATTTTCTCAAAATTATTAGATTTTATAAAATTTGTAACACATATTATATAAAATAATAATAAAAACACATAGTACAAATTATATTTTAATTGTTGCTAACAAAATGATTTTTTTTCTTTTTCCTAAACTCAAACCACTCATATATTGACACCTATCACTAAAAAACTCTCTCAAAACTTCTAACCTAAGATACATTTCTTAGTTTTATTTTCATTATTGATTTATTTTTTTGTCTTTTATTACTAAGAAACTACTTAACAAACTACCATTGGACATGGTCTTAGACATTGATCTCGATAACATAGGGATCACTATATATATATGAGACAAAACCATGTGATGTTTTATCATTAGTGTTTTCCTTTTTCACAAAAATGACAAAACCCCAATCCCAAAGATCTAAACTCTAAAGAGTTTTCGTTAGTGGTAAATCAATTCATGTGTTTTATAAAAAAAATTTTAATTCGATAAATAGCAAGAATAACGAATTTATTTAATGGAAACGACAATATATATATCAAGGATAATAAAAGTATTTTTTTTTTGATTATATTATAATTTAGTGCATGGTTTTGTTAGGTATAAGTTATACTGTATAACGTTAAAATAGTTTATTTAGTAAATATATGTGATAACGTATACCGTATTAACATATATTGTAATTTTCAAATTAATACATGAAAGAAAAAATTCTTTTAATAAATTAACTACAAAATACTCCTTATGACTTTCTAATTAACTAAGAACACAAAGACATAAAATTTCATATAAAATTTATTACTTAACATTTATTTTAAAATATCTAATAAAAATTACCAAAAATAGAAGTGGTCATAACATAATTAAAAATATTAAATTATGCATAGATGTTTGAGAAAGATTTAAACAAATGAAACGAGAAAAAAACTCTAAGATATCTAATATGTTAAGACACCTAGTATAAAAAAAATAGAAATATAACGTATCTCACCATGTTTAAAGAGATCACATCATAAAGTTTTGAAAAAACAATTATTATTTAATAATATGTGTCACCACTATAAATATTTCTTACACTAAAAGTTATTGCATTTTTACTAAATCAAGGTTCTGTCTGGTCTTGAAATAAAAATGAAAATTATTTGGGCCTTTGCTAAACAAATTGGGCTTAGAAAAACGTATAAAGAACAACTTTTGTCTCTTAACTTCATTTCACTTGCCTCCGTTTTTATCAGAGAGAAGCCCTCATTGAGAGTCAAATCAGATTCAGAGGTAAGATTGATTCTCTCTGTTCCACTCTACGAAACTTTTCTTCCACTGGTAATGTAATTTTTATAACCCTTCTTCGAAATCAAAAGTTGGGGTTTTGTAGAGTTTGATGATCTCTCGTCTTACCATTTGCGTGTTCCTGAAGTAAAATTTCGGTTTAGATTTCGCTTTAAACCATTTGTTTCGATTCGTAATGTGTATATGTATCATTCATTGTGAGCTTACCCAGAGATCTCTTATCGATTTAAACGAAGCATGTTGAGGCAATTTTGTGATTAGTGTTGTTTCTCATGAAATGGTTTCTGGGTTTTCTCATAAAGTAGCTTCCTGTTTCTGGGTTTTGTTTAAAATTGTTAAATTGATTAGAAGCAATTCAAACACTTACTATAATGTTGCTCTGTGTCTCATAGAATAAAAGAAACTATTTTGGAGTTTGGACAAAGTTGTAACATTGTGAAACTGATGGTGTTTTTTGTTTTGGAGTTTAGAGGAGTTGTGACATTGAATTGTGTTTTTGAAGGTTTTGATTTGGAAGACAAAATGCGGTACAAGAGAAGATTTGTGACAGTGTATAGAGATTTCCCTGAAGGTTGTGGTGTTCCTTCAAAACGTATATCTAATGCTGATGATTTTTGTAAGCAATTTGAGTTTAAGGTAAGCAGAGTCTCTATTCAGACATATCTACATTGCTGTGAGTGATTTTGTAACAGTTTTGGTTTGAAATGTTAAGAAAAGAATCGTCCTGCAGGCTCATGGAGATTTCACTGACATAAAAGAGGGATCATCAGATTATTCAGAGACCGAGACTTCTAGAATTGATGGTTTAGATAGCTCCTCGAGGGATGTTTCAATGGAAGATGGATCGATTCTTGAATCTAGTGGAGGTGTTAAATATCATCAAGAAGAGGAAGGTTTAGGAGAAAGTGAAGATCATATGAGCTCGGTAAAGAAGAGATGTTTGAGTTATAACTCAGCCATGGAAGTTGAGACAGATGTTGTGGATATCTCAAAGAGAGTTCTTGTTTTGGGACTCGCAGCTCAATCGAATTGCCCTTGGAGAAATCCGAAGCCTCGAGGTTCAAGACAGGTGAACTGAGTCTTGAGTTTTTCTGTTTTTGGTTCTTGTTTATATGTATTTGTTAATGTAGTGAAACCATTTTGAATGCAGGACAAGAGAAGGTGGTTGTAACACTTTTTTTTTTTTTTTTTTTTTTTTTTTTTTTGGTCAAAGGTGGTTGTAACACTTAAATCAAGACTTTCTTAGTAGTAAAGTAAAGTAAAGTACTCTTTTGCCTCTCTTTACATCAGAGGTTTCAGATTAGATAGATGAATCTGACTAAATTGATCTTTGTCAACAATCATTACTCAGTGAAGTAGTGTTCAATTCAGATAACCAAAACAAACCAATGGACAAACCAAAAAACCAATCTCGAAACCGAACCAAAAAGAAATTGACTACAAATTTTAACAAAACCAATGCTTGTTAGTTTTTAACTGTGGTGGTTCCGACTAAAACCAGAAATTGTACCCAATCTAAACCGAACCGATGTTAAACATAAACCATATTAGTTTAAATCAAATTGGGACAAGAAACTGAAACTTCCATTTGTTAATCACTTGATTTGATGCAATTATTTGGATTCAATTCGATTAAATTCGATTAGAAACAACAACAAAAAAGATAGCTGAACCGGAAACTAACCGGAATTTAACCGGTTTTAATCCCCCATCTCTTTCAGAGAACACTTCGTTCTAGGATTCTAAGTCAGACCAAAATCAAAATCGGAAAAACAATGCAGAGATCGGTTGCGATGACGGCGAAGAGACTTCTTCATCGCAATCTTCTCGCAGAAGCTAAACCTAGAACCGTTTCGTCTCCTTCATTTAGCCATTGCAGTTCTTGTTGTTGCTGGGTACGACGAGCTTCTTCTTCAAGGGCCAATGGTGATTTGCGAGAGAGATTAAGCAAAACTAGTCTTCGCGATATAAAGCTAGATGACGCGATTGATCTGTTCAGTGACATGGTTAAGTCTCGTCCTTTCCCTTCCGTTGTAGATTTCAATAGATTGTTGAGTGCCATTGTCAAATTGAAGAAGTATGACGTTGTAATCTCTCTGGGAAAAAAAATGGAAGCTTTGGGGATTCGAAGTGATCTTTATACGTTTAATATTGTGATTAATTGTTTTTGTTGCTGTTTTCAAGTCTCTCTTGCTTTATCTGTTCTTGGCAAGATGTTGAAACTTGGTTATGAGCCTGATAGAGTCACACTTGGGTCTCTTGTTAATGGATTATGTCGTAGGAATAGAGTTTCTGATGCTGTAGCTTTGGTTGATAAAATGGTGGAGATTGGATATAGACCGGACATTGTTGCTTACAACGCTATTATTGATAGTCTTTGCAAAGCAAGACGTGCGGATGATGCTCTCGACTTTTTCAAGGAAATTGAAAGGAAAAGGATTAGACCGAATGTTGTTACATACACTGCGCTTGTAAAGGGTCTTTGTAGTTCAGGTAGATGGAGCGATGCTGCTCGGCTTTTGAGGGATATGATCAAGAGGAAAACCTCTCCTAATGTGATTACTTACAGTACATTGCTCGATGCGTTTGTGAAAAACGGAAAGGTTTTGGAGGCTAAGGAGCTTTTCGAGGAGATGGTCCGGATGTCTATTGATCCTGATATAGTGACTTACAGTTCGTTGATCAATGGGCTTTGTATGCACGATCGCATAGATGAGGCCAACCAAATGTTTGATTTGATGGTTAGCAAGGGTTGTTTCCCAGATGTAGTGAGTTACAACACTCTTATAAATGGATTTTGTAAAGCAAAGAGAGTAGAGGATGGGATGAAACTGTTCTGTGAAATGACTCAGAGAGGATTAGTTAGCAGTACAGTCACTTACAACACTCTTATCCAAGGGTTTTTTCAAGCAGGCGATGTTGATAAAGCTCAAGAATTTTTTAGTCAGATGGATTCTTTTGGTGTCTCTCCCGATATTTGGACCTATAATATTTTGTTAGGTGGTCTTTGTGACAACAGGGAGCTAGAGAAAGCATTGATGATATTTGAAGATATGCAAAAGATCGAAATGGAACTTGACATTGTCACATATACTACTATTATCCGAGGAATGTGCAAGACTGGTAAGGTCGAAGATGCTTGGGGTTTATTTTGTAGCCTCAGCCTCAAAGGATTGAAGCCTGATATTGTAACATACACTACAATGATGTCAGGGTTGTGTACGAAAGGCCTACAACGTGAAATTGATGCTTTGTATATGAAAATGAAACATGAGGGGCTTATGAAAGATGACTCCACGCTATGCCTTAAAGATGGTGACACAACTATATCCGCCGAACTTATCAAAGAAATATTGAGCTGTGGTTACACACCAACCTTGCTTAGAAAGTCTGGCGGTTGCAACAAAGTTGTGTCTCCATTGTAATTGTTACAGTGTGCATTTCCAAATCCACTGTGTGGATATGTTTGGGTTTTGTCCTAGAATTCATCTGTTTCAGCGGTGAATGAATCACTGGCACTTGGTGTTTTTGTAATTCGAGATTTCGAGTTGAGAAATCCTCAATTGCTTCATCCAACCATTGAGTAATGGTGGTTGGTGAAGTGTTATTGAATGGTGAATGCATCTGGGTTCTTCACTAACCGCCTCATTCCTGATTAGAGATTCGGATTTGGATTGTACAGTTGAAGGGATTCTCTGGGAGGATTTTGTGCTGTCATCACCACCACCAGCAGCTCTATCGCTGATGCTGATTAGCGTTGCTTCATCGTCTTCTTTCATCGCACTAAAGGTGAAATTTCTGTCTTTGGTAATCAAATCACATTTAATATTTGCTCGTGCTGGACAATTGTTCATGGTTTTATTTGTCTTTTGAAAGCCTTTGGGCTGAGATCGTTTTTACTACCAGGTTGAAATACATTTTAAGTTTGTTTAGCTATAGAAACATTATGAAAATCTCCCAAATTCGACCTTCAATACATTTTTAGTATCCCTCTAAAAAAGAATGCTTATTATTAGGCTTTCTTCAATGCAATTCGTCCCAGGTTTATGCTTTCTTTGACTCATCTAGCTTATACATCAGCCTAGATTCTTATGTTTTGAAGATACAAGTGATAGATACAAAAATACATGAACAATCTTTGGCTCTTTGCTGTCTCTCGCTCTTTTGGTGCATTTTACATTACAATTTGAGTACTAAAACCGAGTTGTCTACGAAATGCAGGAAAAACAGATGAATGTAGGAAAAAGATGTATTTGGCTCGGCTTGAGGAAGAATGAGCATTACTTGGTTTCTCTCAAGCTTATCATGATTCCTCTCTTTGCACATAAAACATATAGGAAACTGCTCTGCCAGAGATTAGAGAAAGCCATGATGTTGTTAATAAAGGCAAAGCTTCTCGCAGCTTTGGAAACAACCATGGAAGAGCTTCTCACTTACTTAGTGATATGATTGAGAAGAAAATCGTCCCCAATGTAGTCACTTTTAATGCATTGATCAATGCGCGAGTATATGCAAAAGGAGTGAAATGGAGCTCGCTATATTCACAAATAATACTATGATTGAAGGGATGTGCAAGGCTGCGAAGGCCAAAGATGAGTGGGATTTATTTTGTAGCCTCAGCCTTAAAAGGAGTGAAGCCTAATGTTGTAACCTACAATACAATGATCTCAGGCTTGTGTTAGGAAGCAGTATATCTTTTGTCTTTTAATTGATTTATTACGGTTCTCAATGTTAAATGTGGATAAGATATGTGCATATTCAGTTGATGTTGTTTCTGCGCATTATTTGCATTCCTGATACTGTTTCGTGTTATTTCTTAACTTTAAAGACGACACTCCTCACGTCTAAGGTTAGTCCTTATGTTTCCATGAAGATCAGCTTATATGGTCAGAGTAATGTCTAAGGAGCTTAATCATCTAAACTTATGTGTACTCACACCAATTTTTTAATTTCGGTTACAATAATTAAAAAGACGAGATCCTTAAAAAAACATTTTAGAGATTGTTAAAATAGACGGATACAGACGCAAGCAAGAAACGGATATATCACAAAACAATATTACCCTAATTAGAAAAAGGTGTAAATCAGAAAATGCGACTTAACTGCGATAATATAATAAATGTATGAAAATGTGCATAATATAGAGAATTATAATAAAGAGGCACATCAATTGTATAGTGAAGAATTATGGTTAATAAAATTTCCTAAACACTTTTTAGGATTGTTAAAACAAAGAACAAAAAGCTACAAAAAAAAACACTCATGTAAAGATGTTGTGGGATCAATAATTCAAAAAACTTTAAAATTAAGAATTTTAAATTAATATTTAAAGTTTGAATGATAAAATATGAAATCATTTGAAATTAAGTACATATCATTAACGTCAAATCTGATTCTATGAAAATTTTCACCATAAATTTTGAAACAATACAATCTATATGTTATACATTTGATGTTATAGTAATTTTTTTTTGGTGTTAGGCTTGGGACCCCTCTTCCAGTATTTGTTCTCCTCCTGCCATCCATCTCGCTATGTTCAGACTACAAAGGCTCCTACTCCCAGTGCCATGTTGTCCACAGCCGCGACTCGCTCCACTGCAACCTTTCAAACTCGTCTCATTGTATATTTTTTTTAAAGAATAAAAAGAATAAATCATTAAATAAACTTTAATATGGATAGAGACTCATCCAATTGGAAGTGAATTATGACATTTTCCAACAATTTATAAAAAAAAAATGGTTGTTTGGTACCCAATCTTGTTCAGAATTTGCTATTAACCAAACCCAAGCATTATAATTTTCACATTGGATTAACATGTTTCATAGTTTTTTTTTAAGATGGTCGTCCATGTTTCCAATTATTGTTTAAAAATAAATTAATAAGATTCATTTATTAAATGATTCAACTTAAGAATATAGATTATTATTCCTACTCACTTTTGACGTTGGTGGTATGTTTCAATTTGATATTAATTGAAATTGACAACGTGAATGCAGAGACACCATTAATCAATGCAACACTATATTTTTTAATCTTTAAAAAAAAATAGAAAACGATACTACTAAGTACTAACACATGATTGAAATTTGTAGAACTATTTCCCATTTTTCTTAATTATTGTTATATTATTATATGGTTAAATAAAAAAATAACTATGTTAATTATTAATTATTTAGATTATCAATTATTTGACTTAATACTTTTGAATGATATGAAATTGAGCATATTAAAGTTTTAGTTCACTTCTTAAAAATTTTACTCTGCCAAAATCTGTATAATAATATCCAACTGAAAAATTGACCAAAACTTGCGTTTTTTCGTCGTACACTTTCGTAAATTAATTTAATTTAAATTAACTCTACTAAAAATTCATTCTGTTACGTTTCTTCATACATTTGCGTTTTCTACAAACAGTTGTGTCTATTCAAATGGTCGAATCTTTGAAATCTATATATCTACTCTTTTAAAAAAATTCCAAACTTTCTTTTTGACATAGATTTTTCATCATATAATGAAAAATTGAAATTCAATCTTTAACATCGTTCTCTACGTTCTAAATTATTTATCAACATACATCATTTTAATTTTAAATGTTTTTAGATTACACTATTATTCTCTAACTAATGATTTTTTTTTGAAATTTTTGCCTCATATTTGGATGGATCATAAAGTGATTTTCTTAGCCAACAATTTTGTATGATAACAGTGATGCTTTCTATTTAAAAACAATACTAATTTTCATATATCTGGTACATCTTGTATAATTATACAAGATATATGAAAATTATACAAGATAACCTATATATATTGTTTTGTAAATAGAAAGCATCACTGTTTCTTCAACTGATTAATATATCACTTCATAATAGTTCATATATTATTATGTTCTCGACTTTCTCTAGGAAAAGAGAAAATTATTTCCTTTTCTTCAGTCACAATATGAATATATGATGAATAATAACACAGATCAAATCAGATCCATTATATAATCAACAACAATCACAAAACTAAAGAAAACAAAATGAGAAGAGAAAAATTAATTCCCTACTTATTTGTAAATAATCATTTGCTAGAAGAAGGAACATCAAAGATCGTCTTCAGAGTAAGGATGAATAAAAGCACTGTTCATTTGCCAAACCTTAAACGACGCCGTAACGTTCGCATCAATGGCGTTATTGAACAAGAAGAGCTTTGTAGCTCCGTAGATGGCTTTTGTGGGATATGCTCTTGAGGTAATACATGTTCTTCCACCTTGTCCGAATCCTTCTATTATCGAATGATCCACCTATATAAATTGGAATTAGTATAACAACACATCTAAATATATAAATTCTTGTTTTATTATTATAATGAAAACTAATAAATTACCAATATTCTCATAGTCAATTTCTCTCCTTTTAGGACCGGTACTAAGCTCCCATAGACTGATTTCACTACATCGTTTGCCATGCTCGACCTACCAAAAGAGATTATGATTAGCTAACCACTAACCAATATTGTCTTATAATCCATTATCCAAACTTAATATTCAGAAATTACTAATTAGTAAGTGGTTAACTGTATAATTCGAAGAATCTGTTGTGTAAGGTTAAAATGCAATTTATGGATTGATTACCTTAAGTTGTCAGTGCAGAAGAAAGTCTTGAGTTTTGAATCTTTTCCCTTAGTCACATAGAAGTAAACCGGAGTGTGTTCAGACAAGGTTTGGTCAGCGAGAACAGAGAATCCGAAAGGTCCTAAAGCCCCACGCACGGTGGAACCTCCATTGGTTTCGCAGCTATAATCCTTGCCGTCGGCCACCACGGGGTCGTCTCCGAGGATTATTTCGAGATCGTCCTTCATGATCGTGAACTCAGCCTCTATATCTAGCTGAGACGCAGAACCAACATCAACCGGGATCACCGTCCCTGGTCCAACCGTCATGTGGTATTTCTTGCTGTTGAGTCTTAGTGATTCGATTTCCTCCACAGGCCATAGGATTAGGTTATTCCCTGTTTTCGTGTCCAAAACAACAGTTCTTGGAATGGCCTGATCATGGTTTAAGAAGATATCAGCTCTAACTTGGTTTACAAGTAACTTAAACCCCTAACTGACACTGTACGCTACACCAAGAAAACATACCTGAACAGAAGCCCAACCCTTCTGTACATCAGCATATACACTGTCAGATTCAATGGTGAAACCCCATAAGATTCTGCGTCCCTTATTTCCATCGTAAAAGGTCTTTGATGCATAATATGTCCCGTAATCGTATCTCAAACCGGTACTAATTCCGACATCAATAGAAGGATTATCTGGGAACCATGTACCGTTTGCATCAACATATGTTCCAATGGCATAAAGGTCCATTCTAGTATCGTCCATGCTAGCCTTCACAACATGCTTCACGTCTGGTCCCTTGACTGAAGTGTCAAGCCCAATGACTTTAGTCTTCGACACCGGGTAAAAGTCAACACACTCCCACTCTCCAGTGTTGGAGACTTGGTGCAGCAAGGTATCAAGTAGCTCGTAGGTTTTGAAATCTGTTGTGTCGTAAACAAGAGACACTCCAGTTCTATTGATTTTGGAGCCTATGGTGATCCGCCATTTTCCGGCCGATGTCTTCCACGCCGTTGTAGGGTCGCGGAAGTCCTTTGCACCAATACCTAGAGGCGGTAGGAGAATCGGGTTGCCGGAGAACTTAACCCATTTCAAAAGAAGAGGGTCGCTAGGGTCCTCAGGGTAAGCAAGGTTTTGAACCTAAAATAATCATATTAGTGATCGATTGGTCCGACAAATTTTATATTGAAATAAAATTTTATTTTGAAAAATACGAAAATATTTAACCATTATATTAAAAGTTAAAATAAAGTACTTTAACCAATCATGGTGTCGTTTGGTGCAACCAGATACGAATACGAATATCTACACTTGTTAAAGAATTGTTTATTTTTGTAAAATTTATTACAATTTTAATATCAAATCTAGAAACAAATATCTAATTAGTAAAAATGGTTTATGGTATTGAAAAATCAGTACCTGTACAAATTTGTCAGTGATACCAGTGTAGAGCATGACAATGGAGCCATCATCTAGAAAAGTGGCTGAACCGGTCAAAACGCCATTAACGTCGTACCATTGGTCAGGAACCATGGCTATTGGGAGGTGAAGCCAGTGAATAAGGTCCTTTGACACGGCGTGACCCCAAACAATGTCACCCCATACGGTTCCATTTGGGTTGTGTTGGTAGAAGAAGTGGTACCATCCCTTATAGAACAACGGACCTGGCCACATGTTTGACATTTCAATATTTGGTTTTACTTTATAGAATTATATTCGAATTTATGGATCTATTACCCAAATAGAGTGTCATACGCAATAATGTACAAGCAATGATTGTCTTATTTACAATTGGGTTAAAAAACAAAAAAGCTTTTTAGGAGTAAATTGGTAATTGTCTTATTTTTTCCAATTCTTTTGTGACGATGATTGTGGTCCGCAAAAGACGATGTTGTCATATAGTAATCAACCAATATAATATCATATCGACCAGATGATTGTTTTGAACAATTAAGTAATAAGTTTCTTATAGATATTTGATGGTAGTCTATGTTCGAATGTCTCTGTTTTAATGTCTACTGGTTTGCTTTGTTATTTTTCTGTTAAAAAGACGAAAAAAACAAAAACAAAAACTAATTTGATGGTGGACAGCAATTATATATATTTGATGGAAAAAAATTGACGTCTACTGGTTAAGGGTTTAATTCTTTTTTTTTTATAATGTTCATAAACAATATAATTGTCAGCAATTATATATATTTGATGTATAGGTGTACAACTAATAAGGAGATAATCTATGTGTCTTAAGATTATTGTACTGAATGAAGCCATAAAATACTCTTAAGAATTTAACTGTATTCGAATATTGTGAGAAATTATTTTTGATGTTGTGTTTATCCCAATTTTTTCTAATATATATTTCCATTGAAAAGTTATATTAAGCAAAGAAATATAAATCAAAGATATTTTAATCAAAGTTATATACTAATATCTTTTAAAATATAAACAAATATAAAGCATATTCAAGAATACAACAATGGTTACATATACATGTAAAAGATTGTGAGAGTAGTTTACATTTACATAATTTAGATTGTGAGTAAATCATTTTCTCATATATTTGTTTTTTTTTTTTTTTGATCAAATCAAACTACACACAAAAAAGAAGATAAGTTAAAGGAAAAAGTATAAGACTAGACTTCTTCAAGTATAAGACTAGAACTCAGTGAAGAAGTCTAGTGAGTTTGAATCTAGTGCTTACCATTAGGATCTGAAGAAGCCAGAAATTTGCCATTCATAGACGAAGCCATTCGAAAGAGCAAAAAAAAAACCCAAAAAGAAGAAGTATTAATGAAGAATTCAAATCTTTATATATAAAGTAGATGGAACACTTCTTAGGTACATATATAGTATAAGAAAATTAATAACGATTAATAAATTGTTCATAACTGATAAAATAGTTTTTTTTTTTGTATATATTTGTTGGTTCATACCGTTCATCCAATGGTTTTCAGGCTGGAAATGAAACGTCGTGCGTTGCCACGACAACATGGTATCATTCCACGGGAATGCTTCCCTTTTCGGACCATCGAAAACTCTCCAAAACCTTTCGTTGCTCTTATCCGACACTCCAGCCAAACTAGCACGTGACTCCGTCGCTGTTTCATCATTGGAACCCTCGTGTGTGACGATGTGAGTTACGTACAAAGCTATCAATATCAAACTGGAAAAGACGGCAATATGAAGTTTGATGTGTCGTCTCCAACTGGTGTCGGGGATGGTGTCTGATCTTGATTTGGATAATGGATCTTGTTGGGAGGTTACGGGCAAGAGAGCTTCCGAGCTATGCATTTCTTGTTTGTTTTGGTTTTTTAGCTTCGATGCTGGTAATACCAAATGGCAAAGCCTATATAAGAACATTAACCAAAACAAATTTATATAGTAAAGTTCATGCGTTTAGACTTTAGAGACCACTAGTTTATGGGTGCCAAAATGGGTCAGGTTCATGTGTTGATCAGACCCAACTTAAGGCATGAACTATAATGAGTCTCGACCGCTAAGTTAAAAATAATAATAAAATGCTCTGCCAGAGTTTGGAAAAAGCCATGAAGCTATAAAAAGATCCAAAAGAAAACTCCAAATTATAGTCATAGTCATAAAGTTTGTAATATAGATATTTGTTCTAGTGTGCATATACAGTAGCATCTTTGAATGGACCCATCAATTAAACTACGGTAAGCCTCAACCGTCACTTTGGTGTTGTCGGTAAGAGAATAGTTCACTATCTTACAAATTGGTTTAAAGCCAAATCTTACAATAACCCCCGAGAATTCGGGTTATCGGGTCGGTTTGGTTCGATTACTTTACCTTTTTGGTTTTTAATTGTATTTTTTATGGTGGTGGTGACGACATAGTGGTTGTAGTGGTGTAGAAGGAGAAACTACTATGAAGGATTGAAGGTTATATAGAAAATACCAATTGTTTAGTTAGTGAGTTATTAAACTATGTTAAGTTGATGTTGCAAATTTCCCTTTTATTTCTCTTTTATGTTTAATCATTTTCTATAAAAAAAGAAAAAAGAACTGAATCTTATTTGATATAGTTTCCATGGGATTCAAAACCTAGAGAGATTAGAGTGATAGAGGTAAGTAAGTTTTTTTTGTTGTTGTTGTTAAGTTCCATTACATTTTTGAAAATCAGAGATCGTAACGAATATAGGCAAACCAAAACCTTAAAACTAAGATACTATATAAATAATAGAGGAAAACATATCAGAACCTCAAGAGAGCTTCCTTCGACACTTGAATAGTTAATTATGAAGCTATGCTTGTTAAATGCTAAGTTTCATCTTTCAAGACTTCAAGTATGCAAGACTGCTTCGCTAGGGAAAAGGCCCCTCTCGACTTACGCTTTTTGTAATAGCTCTTTGTAGTAAAATTTGATTTATTTGTCACTTCATAGTAGTTCATATATTATTATGTCCCATAATAGTTCAAATTATAATATGTCCCATATTAGTTCAAATTACAATATGTCCCATATTGAACTAATGATAAATGAACGAACCCTACTTTCTCTAGGAAAAGAGAAAATTATTTCCTTTTCTTCACTCACAATATGATGAATAATCACACAGATCAAATCAGATCCATTCTATAATTAACAACATCACCAAAACGAAAGGAAAAAAAAAAAAAAAAAGAGAAGAGAAAAATTGATTCTCTTCTTATTTGAAAATAATCAGGTGTCGCAAGCTGGAACATCAAAGATCGTCTGCAGAGTAAGGATGAATAAAAGCACTGTTCATTTGCCAAACCTTAAACGACGCCGTAATGGTCGCATCGATGGCGTTATTGAACAAGAAGAGCTTCGTAGCTCCATAGATGGCTTTTGTGGGATATACTCTTGAAGTAATACATGTTCTTCCACCTTGTGCGAATCCTTCTACTATCGAATGATCCACCTAATAAAAATTTGAAAAATTAATTGCAATTCCACGAATAAAAATTCTAATATTTGTAATGATATTTATTGTATGAAATAAAAATTTTTTTGAATTAGGTTCTTGTTTTTAAAGATATGATGTGTTACCAAAATTCTCATTGTCAATTTCTCTCCTTTTAAGACCGGTACGAAGCTTCCATAGACTGGTTTAACAACATCGTTTGCCATGGTCGACCTATCAAAAAGAGATTTTGAGTAACCATAAATTAAAAACATTTGCTAAAGAAAATATGCATTTGACAGAAACGAGTCTATAATCGAAAAATCTATTAAAAATATATGATTACCTTGAAGTGTCAGTGCAGAAGTAAGACTTGAGTTTTGAATCTTTTCCCTTAGTCACGTAGAAGTAAACCGGAGTGTGTTCCGACAAGCTTTGGTCAGCGAGAACAGAGAACCCGAAAGGTCCTAAAGCCCCACGCACGGTGGAGCCACCGCTGTTTTGGCAGCTGAATTCCTTGTCGCCTTCCACGGAGTCGTCTCCAAAGATGATTTCAAGATCGTCCTTCTTGATCTTGAACTCAGCTTCTATATCTAGCTGAGCCGCGGAACCCACGTCAACAGGAACCATGGTCCCTGGTCCAACCTTCATGTGGAATTTCTTGCTACTTAGTCTCAAAGATTTGATTTCCTCAACTGGCCACTGGACTAAGTTTTTCCCCGTCTTAGTGTCCAAGACAACAGTTCTTGGGATGCCCTGATCATATAGGTTAAGAAAATTTAATTCCTAACTTGGATGACAAGTAAGTTAAAGCCCTAACTTTCGTAGCACGTTACGAAGAAAACATACCTGAACAGAGGACCAACCCTTCTGTACATCAGCAGCTTCACTGTCAGACTCACCAATCCAACCCCATAAGATTCTCCGTCCCTTATTTTGATCGTAAAACGTCTTTGACGCGTAGAATTTCCCGTAATCATATCTCAAACCAGTACTGATTCCAACATCAATAGAAGGATTATCCGGAAACCATGTACCGTTTGAATCATAATACGTCCCGATGGCATAGTGATCAATTCTGGTATCGTCCATGCTAGCCTTCACAATATGCTTTACATCTGGTCCTTTGACTGAAGTATCTAGCCCTTTGACTTTAGTCTTCGACACCGGGTAAAAATCAATACACTCCCACATGCCGGTGTTGGGAACTTGGTGCAACAAGGTCTCTCGTTTCTCGTAGGTTTTGAAATCGGTAGTGTCATAAACTAGAGATACCCCGGTTCTATTGATTTTGGAGCCGATGGTGATTCGCCATTTTCCGGCCGATGTCTTCCAGGCTGTCGTCGGATCGCGGAAGTCCTTTGCACCAATACCTGGCGGTGGTACGAGGACAGGGTTGCCGGAGAACTTGGTCCATTTCAATAAAAGTGGGTCGCTTGGGTCCTCAGGATAGGCAAGGTTTTGAACCTAAAATAATCATATAATTATATCAGTAATGAGTTGGTCAGACCAAAGGTATGTTTTTAAAAAACAACCCAACAGTAAATTAAAGTTAAACCAATTATGATGTTTTTAAGTGCTACCAGAGGAATTTGAAAACAGCACAACATTAGTTAAATACTTTTATATTTTTTATTATTATTTAGAATTTACTATCATATACTTATCAAAACGAAAAACGATTTTAAGAAACTCAGTACCTGAACGAATTTGTCAGTGGAACCGGTGTAGAGCATGACAATGGAGCCATCATCAAGAAAAGTGGCTGAACCGGTCCAGACACCGTTTGCGTCATACCATTGGTCAGGAACCATGGCTAATGGGAGGTAAAGCCAATGGATAAGGTCCTTTGACACGGCGTGACCCCAAACAATGTCACCCCACACAGCTGCATTTGGGTTGTATTGGTAGAAGAAATGGTACCATCCCTTATAGAACAATGGACCTGGACACGTTTAACATTACATCAGTTCAGGTTAATATTAAACTATATAAAATATGCTATAAATCACAAAAATCTTTCACACACATACACACACAAACTAATTACGAATTGAGTATGGCATTTGAATGTATAATTATGACTAATGTATCTTTTTTACCCCCGGCTAGTTTTGAATCTAGACAAAACATTACTATATACAACGTTTCATAAGTTCAAGAAGCTGTGACTACTGTATATTTGTGACTTTTGTGAGGACCGAAAAAGAAAAATATGACGTTTCAGTTACAATTGGGGTAAAATAGAACGTACGAGTCGAATGGGATCGATCACAAACTAGTCTGTCAAACACACAATAATGGGTCAGCAATGATTTGGACAATATGCACATGACTCACGTGGTGTATTACAAAACAGGCAATAACAAAACAAAGTGTAAACTAATTGGCTTTAATGACTCTTTCTATTTAGATTTTGTCTTTGTACTTTACACTTTAAAAAAAAAAACTTTTAAGGTGTAAATTAATTATTGTCTTTTTAAAACATTTATATTTCCATATTATCCAAAGACATGTAGTATGATTTGTGGTCCGCAAAGGACGTGCCGTGTTGTCATTTATCTACCAATAACTTTTATGGGTTTCAGATATATCTACCAATTTGTGTAGCCAATCATATTTTTAATAATATTTTTTTCCATATTTTATATAATATAAAACAATGTCAAAGGAAAATTTTAGAAGCACAAAAATAGAAGACGTCAGTGTAGGATCTAGAGCTTACCGTTAGGATCTGAAGACGAAGAAGCCAGAAATTTGCCATTCCATAGACCAAAAACAAAAAAGAACAAATTAATACATATGAAGATTACAAATCTTATAGTCCTATAGAATAACAAATATATTTAAAATTGTGAAATTGTAAATATGTTCTATCACTCTTGCGTATTTACTTAAATCTTGTTCCTTAAGTCATGGTGTCATAAAGAGTTATGGAATGAAAATCTATATAAAAGAGAAAAAACTGAACATTCTTTTGTAAAGATGAGACTCTTTTTTAGCTATATTAGCTATATAAAATTAATTATGATTAATTAATCAATTATTCATACCTAATACGATAGTCTTTAAAATATAAATTGTTAAATCATACCGTTCATCCAATTTTTCTCAGGCTGGAAATGAAACGCCGTGCGTTGCCACGACAACATAGTATTGTTCCACGGGAACGCTTCAGTTTTACCATCACCGGATAATCTCCAAACCCGTTCGTTGGTCTTCTCCGACACGCCAGCCATACGGGCACGTGACTTTGTCTCTGTTTCATCCCTGGCTCCATTTTGTGAGGTGGATCCGTCGTGTGTGACGATGAGAGTGACGTACAAAACCACCAAGAGCAAACCGGAATAAACGGCGAGATGGACTTTGATGGGTCTTCTCCGACGAGTCTCCGGGATCTGGTCGGATCTTGACTCGGATAATGGATCTTGTCGGGACGTTACGGGTAAGAGAGCTTCCGTACTCGCCATTTTCTTGTTTGGTTTTTGCTTTATTTGATGGTTGTAATAAAGAAAATGGCTAGTCCTATATATATAAATAGATAGATCAATCAAATCAAATCTCAAAATAAATATATTAAAAAAAATATGAGAAGTTGAGAACTAGAGAGAGTAGAGAGATCTAGATTAGAGCTGTGATTTTTGTATTATCTATCTACCAGTAATAAGCCTCACGTTTAAATACGACAAGTCAATAATAACATTTATTATTCATTATTTAAGTAAGTGGATTTAAGGTAAATATATTGGACCAATATATGTTAATTACTATATTTCCTTGTTAATTGCATACATTTTTTAGAACACTATGGTTTCATATGGATAAAAGAAACTAATTCATAAGAGGCGTGCGTAATCTACCCTATTTTTGAGATGAATATTTTTGAGGTGGAAAATAATTTTTCATGGACTAAGATTATTTGTATATAAAAATGGTGCATAATTTTTTTTTTTACATCAAATACACCATGTTTTATTAGACTGATTCGAAAAGATTAGCCTCATGAATCAACCACTCCGGAACCTGAGAACATACATGAGAACTTACTAAGCTTCATGCTCGAACGTTCTTAGCGAGACGATCTGTCTGGATGTTATTGTTTCTAGAAATATGAGAAATTGAAAAACAGAAAATCTAGCTCGGAGTCTATGAAAGATATCTAACTCCGTAGAAAAAACATGCCACTCTTCGACGTCGTCAATAACCTTTAAGATGCTCAAACAATCTGTCTCAAAATGTCCCGATGTATGACCATGGTTTAAAACACATTACATTGCCCATAGTAGTGCACCCAATTCAGCATGAAGTGCATACATGAATCCCTTAGTGCTTTGGCATCCGAAAAGGGTTTCAGGCCCATATAGCACAAATCCCAGCCCTGAGATCGGGTCTGAGCTAAGAAACCGGTGCATAATTGATATGCGATAATTGGTAAAATTTATAATTGGTAAATAGAAAGGCTTGTTAAAAGTAATCCAATCTACGTACATATTTGTTCACCTTAACCGTTTTAACCATTCAAATCTCATTTTTCCTTATTTCTCCCTTTATCAACTAAATCTCCTAAATTGATTGAAATGTTATCTTAAATACTTTATTTCATTTTTATTTTATCCTATGCTTCATCTTCATACTAGTATTTTAGGATTTGCCAGTAGGTACCAGTACCACTAGTATAATTACAGGTGAATAATGAATAAATAGCTGTGAAGAACTGTTACCCCATATTATAGTTTTGATTGCCCACGTTTTAATCAGTATCTATATTCTATAAAATGGGCCAACCACTTTATTTGGATTTAAATTGTAGCTACTTTTATCAATTTCCCTAGAATGAGTTGCAGTCTTTTTCAATTAAACATAAAAACTAAAATTCTTGTTGAACTGTTTTTTTTTTTTGTTTGTTCATACCAAGCCCTCAGAAGACACGTTGCAGCACCTCCAACTTTGAAGGGTGGGTAAATTTTCAAAGAGATTTCCCAATTTGACTTATATTTTCAACTTTGAATAGTTTGATGATAAGTAAAAGTGAAGATGCAAAACTCAAGCAATCTATTGATATTAAATAAAAAGTTTAAGCTAAGATTAGCAAGGTCTCATATCTATTAAACTATTGCTAAGAAATTCTTATTGTATTTTTTTAATGGTTTATCATCATTTTCAAAACTTTCATATCTAAAGTGATTATCTTGGATCAAAAATATAGTTATGAAATTTTGACATAATATAGATCATATAGTTTAGTGATGCAATTAATTAGATATAAGTTACCCAAGGTATAAACCAATGGCGACAAAGTGATGCAAAAAGGAAAACACAATAATAATTGTAACTCTTATATTTCAACTATATTAAAAGTGATGCAAATAAATGTATATATGTTAAACACGTCTGAAAATATATACAACACTTGTGTCTTTGGCCAAACCACATGATTTTTTTTTATATATATTTATATGAATAGCATATAATATCTTATCACGATCATGTCAGACTATCCAACAATGGTGATTCGTGAAGATAAATGAACTTCAATCACGACAAAACAAAACAAAAACATATTAAATTTTGATTTTTTTTTCTCTTTAATATTAATTTGATCAACCACGTGAAATGATCTTCAATGCACTTTGTTTTCTAAGTAAGCTAAAAGTTATTCACCTTAGCAGGAAACTAATTAAACCAAACCTAATAATTAATTAAGTTTGATTCCTATTTAGTTTTCTTTAATTAGTCTTTGCTTTTTGCCTGATCTTTTTCATACCTTTTAATTCAATTAAAATGGGAAAACAAGATCTGAAAAAAAAAATCACAAGAAAAAACAAGACAAGATCTCAAAATTCTTAAATAATTAAAAATCGACAAAATCTATAATATTTTGATGGACGTGGGAAAACAAGATCCACATGCATGTAAAAGACCCATTCTGTCTCATGGGAATTAAAGAGACGTGCTCTTCTGAAAATTATCCAACAAATTTTAACACATCTTTCCTACTACTGAGGTATTTTTTTCTTTCACACATAGTATTGTTTGTATATACTCCATCAAAGAACCTTCCTAAAGACTATTAGAAATGACTCAATAAAGATGATATACGTACTTGAGAAGTTGATATAGGTGAGAATGTCTAAAAAAAGGTATTAAATATGCATGATATATAGAAGTGAGTTATATCATAATTAGAAGATAACAATACATTTAGTATCATACTATAGATTAGCTGGAGACATTATGTATGTGTAACAGTTTAAGTTGTATTCTCATCCAATCATTTTCAAATAACGTATAGAGAAGATCTGATTTGTATCGTATTCACGACACTTGCAAAGCAAATAAATTTAATCAACTATGTAAATCCAATATAAGCTGGCCGTATATAATTGTTTTATATGAAATGCCAATGAATCTTGGTAGAATATATATATAGTAATCGAAGAGTAGACATGGATCTGACTCAGACGAACACGTTTTATATTCATATCCTTTAATTTGTCGTCATAAGGTAGTTGTCATTTGGTTCACTCCGAGGAACAACTTCCACTTTTTTCTTTATAATATAGTTTTAAACTAAAAAATCTTAAAGATGTTTTCATAAGTGTTTTTTTATAATTTTACTCTCTGTTTCTTAAAATACATGTCAATTTACTAAATCAAAAATGGCAATATAACTCATGTCACCATCGTCAAATTTAATAAAAAATTATGATGAATAATAATACTGTATATCAAATTAAAATAATTCTTTTTTTTTGGTAAAAAATTAAAATAATTCTTCTAATCACCAACTTCCCGTTTCCGGAAATAATTCTCTACGTTATGTAGTTTTCGGGTTTTGTTAATCTCCAAGCCGCTCTAACCCAACTGGGCTATGAGAGCTGCTTCAAGCCGGTCAGACTATGCAAAGATCTAACATCTTTTCGACGGATACATTCTCTTCTTCTTAGTTAACTCAGCAAGTTTCTTGATCTGATCACGAGGCTCCGCTTTCATTTCCTCCTAACTCATGAAAAGAACATGGTTGGGGTGTTCTAACCTTCCTCTCCAATAGCTCAGGAACTTCCCAACAAAGTCCATAATAGATAATACAAATGATTTGTATAAAGACTAGAGAATGCTTCTGTCTAGTTCTGTTTTATGCATATCACACACAAAAAACCACCACGAGATCAATGTGTCCTTCACGTTCCTACACATGTAATTATGTAAACAATCTTGCGAGGAGACTCCTTGAGTGTCTCTTGTCTAGTGTGAAGTGGCATGTGAGTCGAGAAGAGCCTTGATATCTCAATGTATATATCATTTTCTAAGAATGGGATAACGCAATTAAATAAATAAATAACGGATGTTCACATGTCAACTTCAAATAGTTCTCAAAAAACAGAAGAAGAACATATTAAGCAAATGGGAGAAATGTTGTCTTAACATTACAAACAAGAAATGATGAAAGAATGCCTTTTTTTTTTTACTTCTTTTTCATTATTAGCATTCGAAATAACTAACAAGTTAAACAAAGTGACAACAATGAAACCTTCAAAAAAAAAAGAGAGAGACGACAAAATGCGCTTTACCTCTAGTTTAACCGGTCTAAACAAAGACCGATTAAACCAATTTGCAGTGTTCCTCAACGGAGAAAATTTTGTATGGCTCTGAAGTAAACTAACATGTCGGACTTGGCCCTTTATCTCCACCGGACGATAGCTGATCCCCACGTCAAACCGGCTCCAAAACCGGATGTGGCTATGGTATGTCCTGGTTTAACTTTTCCGCTTCTCACCGCCTCATCAAGAGCTAGAGGAATCGAAGCAGCGCTCGTGTTACCGTAGTTAGCCAAATTCGATATTACTCGCTCTGGTGGAAACTGCAGCCTTGTAGCCACAGAGTCTATTATTCTCTGGTTCGCCTGCAAATATATTTCAAAAACTTTCCTTTTAACCATTTTTGCAGAAGAAAAGTTTGAAACTTTCGTTATTTAACTCTAACTTCAGGACCATTATTAATGGAAACCGAATCAACCAGAAGTATACATATCAGAATTTGTTCTTTTTACTATTTTTACCAGTTTTTTGGTACTAAAACTTCGTTTTGTTTGAGCTCAAAGCTCGTATCCATATTCAATGGAAACTGAATTCATTTTCCCCATTAAAGCTTGAATTCATATCTACTATCGATGAAACTTGAATTAATGAAGATTTTGATAAGAAGATAACCTGATGGAGGAGGAGCCAGTCGATGGCAGAAGCAGGAAGACCGGCTTTTTGTAAAGCAGACTCAATAGATTGAGGAACACTTTTCACAGCAAAGCGAAAGACCTCTTTTCCATTCATCTGAATACACGAATAAGAAGACTGTTTTGGTGGAAAGTCTCCAAAGACCGAGCCATTGGAGCTGGTTTCACCATCAATTTGGGATTCTTTAACAGAAGCATTCAAATGTCTGCAAAATAGAGAATCTTACTGTGGGTTCTTAGGGTAAAGAATGAGAAGATGGATCTTAGGCCAAAGAAATGGAATCTAAATACCTTCGGCCGTCCCCATCGCTGTGCACATCAAAACTGAACAAACCATCATCTTCAATATCACAAGCCTGCACAAAATGAAAGGACATTTTTAAAAAAAAAAACAAAAATTGATCTCTTAAGCCACGGTTTGATATGCAATGTGGCAAGCACTCGTCTTATGATTATGTTACTTGTGATAATTTACTAAAGGCTAAACTCTGTTTCAGAAATTCAATCAACCTTATATAAGAACTTTGAATATAACGAGTGCACAACATTGTCCAAGGCTTCATAAAGCACAGTACCTGGACAACCACAGCACCAGCAGCGTCCCCAAATAGAATGCAAGTCCCTCTATCCGTCCAATCAACAAACCGAGATAAAGTATCAGCCCCAATCACTAAAACATTCTTAAAACCGCCTCCTGAAAAAAACAGAAAGGGACAAGATTATACACTTGTCTTATTCATTACTCATCAATTTTTCATCTTGTTTGACTTTTACCCCTTATATGACAAGCAGCTGAAACTAGACCCAAAACAAATCCACTACAAGCAGCTGTGATATCATAAGACAACGGGTTCTTTGTGCAACCAAGTGCTTTTTGAATCTGTCGTAAATAAAAAATTATCAGAAATCAAACTATGGGAAGTCTTACTCAATCGAAGAAAGTTTTAGATTTCAAGGTCAATAAATACCTGTGGAGCAGCACCAAATAGATCATCAGGAGTGGAAGTGCACATCAAGACTAAGTCAATATCTTCAGGAACAACCTCTGCCATTTCAAGGGCTTTGGTCGCTGCTTCTACTGCTAAGCCAACCAAGCTATCTTTGCCTTCAATCATAGTTTTACATATTAATGTCACTCTACACATCACTGAATAGTACCCCTAACTTATCATAGCGGAACAAACCAATGTTATACGTTACCTGACACAACTCGACGATTGCGAATACCAGTACGAGTAGCTATCCATTCATCATTAGTGTCGACTATTTTTGCAAGATCATCATTAGATATCAATAGACTTGGAACCGCTGATCCACAGCCAATCAATTTGCAGCCACTCGGCACTAACCTTTAAGTAAAAAAGAACCCAAAGGAATCATAAATCAGAGACCATTTAAATGCATTCTTGAAAAGCAAACTTGTCTTCAAGATCATCTTAAAGCTAACTTAAGCTAAGACTCAACAACAATCATGAACCAGAGACTATCTAAATGCATTCTACAAAAGCAATTTAAGATCTTTACAGAGCTCAAGCTAAGACTCTGCAATACTCAATCTTCCTAACCTCAGAACAATCTTTATCCCAATAGCAAAAGAACGATCTCAAATCAATGAAATATTAAAGAATCTAACACGAGAGGAGATAAAGATGTGATCTTTATTCACCTGGGTCGTTGATATTGAGAAGGAGACGGCGAAGCATGTTTATCAACGCCATCGACGGAGCTGACGGTAGAACACAAAACCCTTTTAGAGAATCGAGTCGAAACGCAAAACCCAGATCGAGAAACTCTAATCGGAACATGGACTCTGCTTCGTAGGTTAGGAATCGAAGGATGAGTGAAGAACCCAGATGCATTCGCCATTTTAATCAGAGGAATCGAAGAACAACGAAACGAGATTGTTCAATGTTTCGAATCGAAAGGATCTTTCTTTCTTATCTCTCAGCTCGAATTTAGCGTAATGCCAGAGATTGCATCACCGAATGACAAAAATTCGAATTTTTAGCTTTTTGGTATTTGCGTCTATGTGTGTGTGAGAGAGAGAGAGAAGAGGAGAGTGTGTAAAGAAAAATCAAATCTTCGGAAGTACCGAAGCGAAGAAGAGAGGAGGAGACAGGAGAGGAGAGTGTGACAGCTCAGTTTTGAGGAGATTCCAATGCCATTCAATATTACTTCAGCTTCTCCCTTTTTGGCCTTTGTTTTGTGATTTGTGTTTTTTTTTTTTCTCTAAAACAAATTTATTCACATAATTAACATGAAACACAATTAACTATTGATTATACACTTAACAACCAATTCATGTGGTTAATTATAACATCATAAAATAAAAAAAAATTATGAACTGCTCTATTTCATTGATAATGAAAGGTAAAGTTAGTAATTTTATGTTAAACCAATGACATGTTATTGAATAAAAATGTAACAGGTCCAAAGTAAATAAGTTGAAGTTACTTTCGATTGTAATGGTTTTTGAAATTTTTTTGATGTTTTATTTCAATTTTGAAGACAAGGTTTGTAAAACCGTTTCTTCGAATCAGTTTTGATATAAATTTTGTGTTATATTTATATGCGAAAACACCAGATTTACTAAAATATTAAGTGCTTTTATCTTACATTTATTCGCAAAATTGACGATCGAAAATAATTAACAATAAGTATATGATTTACACCTAGTTATGTGGTATATTGAAACATCAAAAAAAAAATATATACATATATTTATGATAAACAAAAATTATGTCCATTTTATACATGTATTCAGTAATTCCTTGCTAATATGTGTTACATACTTTTAAAAGTAGAAAACGCATCTTATCGAGTAATTTAGTTTTTCAAATTTCATGGGTTTTGATTAAATAAAGATAAAAGCGCATGTGTTACTATGAATATATGGGACATAAACAAAAAGGTGGTTGAGTACTGTACCGGTCATATATTAGTAGGTGTTGGGTGAACAACTTGAAGAAAAATAAGTAATTAAACCAAATCCATTTTTTAATTTAACTGATGTGATAAGAAGAAGAGTTAGATTATATCAAAACCACTTTCAAAAATAAAATATTATTGAAGTGATTAAAATTCAAGGGAACAAAATTTATTGCCAAAAAAATGCAAACGTATAAATGTTGTTGGTTGTGGACAGTCTTCTTAATAAACAGAAGCTCTCATAGTTTGGTGGCTAAGAGTCTAAGACCATGGACATTGGTGTTAATAACCAAAGTCCTACATATTTTTCATATTAAAAATAAATCAAAACAAAAAAGAAAAGGGTGGGTCGTCAACAAAAACGGGACGTCCCGCGCTTCCTTCTTTCACTAATCGCGGTGGCGGCCCGCGATTGGTTACATTCTTTTTTTTTCTTTTTTTAATTCAAAAGTTTTGAAAAAAAAAAATTTTGGGGGACAACCACAACCGATACACATGCCCTAAGACTGAGACATGTACAAGCTTATGAGGTAAACTTTGGCACTAAAACTCTTCGGATAGAGAGAAGACCATGATATCATGGTTAGGAACAGAGTAGCTACAAACCACATTCAAACACACAAATCTTTATATTATGCACACAATAGAAATTGTACCTAATCTGACTAGCTAGAATCAGACTCACACTTTGCATCTTCTTTACCAGTTGTGTTATCAAAATCCTACTTTAGTTAAGCCAATGTTTCTTTCTTGGATTTATCACAATACTTTACAAAAATAGGATAGTTGATTTTTGTGAATATATGATTGTCACAATGTTATAAGGATTCAAATCATCATTAGTTTCAACAATTTTTTTGCAATATTATTAGAAATCATATTCACATAATGCAATACATAGTATTATAATAAAAAGATAGAAAGTTTTGATTTGGAACAAATTAACCCGAACGATCGACGACATTATGAACCTCCCTTAGTAAATAAGCATGGGTCTCCTTCTCCTAGAATCGATCCTCCTATAATTAAATCTAACACAGACAAAAAGAATTGAGAGGCATTACATATGGAAGCAGTTAGAATCCTTGAAAATCAAATAAGAGAAGATAAATAAATGTTAGACCTTTTTGCATGAAGATAAGAATCGTATTTTGGTAGCTTCGTCTTCCCATTGCACACCTTTAATCCATCGTGGAGATGTGTAGCGTATGATGCATCCATTTTCACCTTGCTTGCCACTTTGGGAATCAAGTGGAAGCTTTTTCAGACTTGGACAATTCCTTACTTCGATTTTCTCTAGGCATGGAAATGGTAGAGGACTCCAATATATATTCTTCAGCTGTGGTAGATTACCTAAATAAACTTCATTCAGCTTTTGGAAAGGAATATTCACCGATTCTTCCCATTCACAAGCTTTCTCTCTGTTTATTATATCTTCCATGTCTTTTGCATCCCGAACATTAAGAACTCTAAGATTTGGAGCGAACATCAGAAACGTCAATTCCTTCAAGCTATCACAATCTGTTATATACACTCTGACAAGGCTCAAGAAGCTGCATATTCTTCCGATCTTTATCTCAGGGATACGGCACCTCACAATACTGAATTCCCGAAGCTTGTCAATAGATCCTGAAAGTGATATCCCAGTTGATTCAAGATTTCTATTTGGTGATGATACAACTTCATCCCAGATCACTAGAGATCGTGTAATACTCTTCAGCCTAGGAGAGCTCAAAAAACGTTCCAGACTTGGAGTAACATTGAAAATTATGGTTAAAATTTCTAAATGTTCCAAAGTTTCCAACTCCTTCACTGTGTCGAGATCCCATGGTAAATGAGTTCCACTTAATTTCAAAACTTTCAAACTACACAGATCTGATATCCCAACAATACTTTCAAGCTTTGATGTATACTCCAAATCCAAGTGAATTAGTTTTTTCAACGCTTGTAGTACCTTCTTTGGCAAACAGCGTATACTGGTTTCTGTCAAGTTGAGATATTGCAAGGAAACTAGATTTGATATTCCTTCTGGCAATTCAGAGAGACTTCGATTACGCGATAGATCCAAAACAACTAGCTTTGGCATGTAATTGAAGAATTCACTCGAGATTTCCAATCCACTCGAGATCTTTTTCAATCCAATCGAGATCACTAACAGTTCTATCATCTTTTCCCAATCTCTCCAGTTTCCTCTTTCATATCCTCCCACTCTCAGGAGCAAAGTTGTGAGTTCCATACATTCAGGGCTGCCATCGAGATGAATCTTTTTATCCATTAACGACATTCTTCTCACAACGTTCCAATTCTTAACCTTTGGAATTTCAAGTAACCCAACACCTGCACTCACAACGAATGCCTCTTTTTGTATTCCCAGTTCAGAAGCGATCCATAAGGCCATTTCACGAACAACATCGTGCATAAACACAAAAGCTTCTCCATCGTAAGCAACCCCCTCCATTAACAATGATGCGCGGGCAAGACTACCAATAATCTCATAACCCTTGTCCTCAGCCCTTTCTATACTTTCACTTCCATCTATGAATTCCTCGCATATCCAGTACTCTATCAATTCTTTTTTCCGAATTACAGCATCTTCTGGAAATAACGCGCAATATAGCAAACACGATTTGACATGGTCCCCTTTAAGGCTATCATAGCTAAATTTCAAAAGCGGAAGGACCTTATCCTCCATGCCATCAAACTCTGCAGCGTATGAATTCAAAACATTTATAGCGTTACGCCATTCTTCTACTGTCTCCTTGCATGACATAGTCTCCCCTATGATGTTGAGAGCCAATGGTAGGCCACAACATTTTTTAACAACTTTACTTGCAAGTTCGAGGATTCCCGGATTGCTTCCAAGTGTTGTTTCTCCAACCTTCTTTTGGAACAAATCAAATGCTTCATTTTCCTCCAAACATCGAACTTCCATAAGTTTTTCAACCGCCATGCGCCTACATACTTCCTGAGAACGAGTCGTAAATGCCAATTTACATCCTTTTTGTGATCTTGGATCCGGAACTCCGATCTCAGTTAAATCCACCTTCTTCCATACGTCATCTAAAAACAACACGAATCTCTTTTCCTTTAAGAAATTGTGTAAACAAACCTCCTTTTGACTTTTATCCTTTTGTTTCCACTCCTCTCTATTAAGACCAACTTCATGAGCGATATCATCTTGAATCTTCTCCATCTGTGAGTCTCTTGACACCACAACCAAAATAACGTGCTCAAATCCCCGTCTATCGTTACTGAATTTATTGTAGATCTGTTTGAGAAGAGTTGTCTTCCCTACACCGCCCATACCGTAGAAACCCATAACACCAACTCCATCTTCTATGAGATGATTCCATGCCTTCTCGAGCATTTTTTCTTGACCAACAATTGTCGGTTGAAGAGGTAGCTCCTTCACCTCATGTGTTACAGCAATCACTTCAAAATCTTCATTTTTGAGTTTCTCAACTTTTTTCAACGTCAAGAAAACACTTTCCCCGTAACGGTATCTCGATATAAAACTTTGACGTTCAATATTTCTATCATTAACTATACCATTGACTTTATCTGCGATAGTCTCAATTGTATTAAGCCATACCTGGAACTTTTCAAGCATTAGTGGACTTATATCCTCCTCTCTTTTGCGCCTTCTTAACAAATCATCCCGTTTAGCCTTGAGTTCTTCCATGGTTGCCTCCAAATCCACGAGATTATTGACGAGATTATGAGTATAACCTCTTTTCTCAACTAGCCATTCAAAGACTTTCTGCACCGGTTCATCCAAACTTAATGAGGCGGAGAAGCAATTCCCCATTTACAGAAAAAAAGAGAGATCTGCAATTTGAAATTTACTAGTGAATTTCTTAGCAAGAAAAACAGAGAGGATGCAGAGAATAATTGAAGATAGAGAGAATACATAGAATAATTTTGAAGACGTTCTTTTTAGTCCACAAGAAGTAAGATAATGCTCGATCGAGTGAGTCCAAAGATATTTGTTTTTCAATTTGCATGGTTGAAAAATCATCCTTTGGAAAAATCAATTCGTTTTTTTTTTTGCAAAGAAAATTGTGGTTGGTTAGATAATATTAATCATGGCTGACCGAAGAAGACTTGACTCAAGTCCTCTAAGTTAGTGAAGTTCACGATGTTGAAGAAGAGCATCACAAATTCACAATCACACTTATTTACTAAAGCCTATGCTTCACTGTTCCTATAAAGATTAGCCAAGACTTAACAATAATCAATCTTTCTAGTCTAAGCAAGTTTTGTCTAGGGTTTTGAGTAATGTACCATTCTTTATATCGAGTCAGGTTTTACATTCTGTGACCTAAACAAGTGAATGTACGAGTCAAGTGTCTTTCTTAAGTTTTGTTTTGTGATCTTCGCTGTGAAAGTGATGGTATAGCCTGAGAGTCTGAGACCATGATAACAACACTGCGACCTCGATATAGAGCTCGATCTTCTCCATTGCACAAGTTAATACCCAGTTCCAAGCATGAAGACTATGAGGCTATGAACAAGTGTCTGTTATCTACTTCTCTGAATAATTAAAAGAAAATCACTTTTATTATATACTTGGTTATTTAATCTGCCATAATTAGAAAATGGATAAAATATTGAATTAAGAAAATATACAATTATATTTCAAATTAAGTAAGGTCTTTCTCATTTTCTTTCCACTTTTTACTCCTTTTTGTTGAATTAAGATTTTTAAAACATTTCTTATTCAATCTTTTTAACCAGAAATAATATTTGAAATATTTTCACTCTTTGTGATTTGTGTCACTTTAAAATTTATTATTAGTAAACCAAAAATTAACTTTAAAATTGCCCGAAATTTCAACTTAACTAACAGCGTTCAAGTATTCAACAATTCTTAAATCTTAACTGTGACTGTGGTATTTTGAGGAATTCTGCAACATTAAGTTGAACATTTGAAAGTAATCAATTATTTATAATTTTGAAAATTATTATTAGTACACCAAAAACTCTGAATGTAAAATCCCGAAATTACCTAAACCGAAAGTGTTTTAAGTGTTCTTTGATCGGTCACCTGAGAATCTATAAAATCACAATCACACACACTTCTTATCAGTACAGGAAAATCATTTTAACTTGGAATACATCACAAAGATACAAACTCTAATTAGTTTGGTGTGTTAACACGAACCAGTTTTATATTGCCACCTTATTAGTTATTCTTTCTCCTTCTCCACCAACACACAAAGTGAAGCATCAAGCAGTATGAGCAATCATCAAACTGTCAGATTCCTTTTCTCTCGTTTTCCATATTTCCCTTCACTTTCTTTATGATGAGTTCTCTCCAAATTATAGTGATTTGAATTGTCTTGATCAAGCAGGTGTTGAGGCAATTAGAGCCATGGTGTGAGCTCAAAGATAAAGTGGTTCTTGTGACAGGAGCTTCCTCTGGTATAGGAAGAGAGATCTGTCTTGATCTTGGCAAAGCTGGTTGTAAGATTATCGCAGCAGCTCGTCGTGTTGATCGTCTCAACTCTCTCTGCTCTGAAATCAATAGCTTCGGTTCAACCGGGATCCAAGCCGCAGCACTTGAGTTAGACGTTTCATCGGACGGAGCAACCGTTCAGAAAGCGGTTAAACAGGCTTGGGAATTCAGTATTCCCTTGCTAATATGTGTTACATACTTATAAAAGTAGAAAACGCATATTATCAAGTAATTTAGTTTTTCAAATTTCATGGTTTTGATTAAATAAAGATAAAAGTGCATGTGTTACTATAATACATATGGAAGATAAGAGAAGATAAATAAATGTTAGACCTCTTTGCATGAAGATAAAAATCGTCTTTTGGTAGCTTCGTCTTCCCATTGCACACCTTTAATCCATCGTGGAGATCCGTAACCTATGATGCATCCATTTTCACCTTGCTTGCCACTTTGGGAATCAAGTGGAAGCTTTTTCAGATTTGGACAATTCCTTACATCGATTCTCTCTAGACATGGAAAGGGTAGAGGACTCCAATATATATTCTTCAGCTGTGGTAGATTACCTAAATAAAGAACATTCAGCTTTTCGAAAGGAATATTCACCGATTCTTCACATTCACAAGCTTTCTCTCTGTTTATTATATCTTCCATGTCTTTTGCACCCCAAATATCAAGAACTCTAAGATTTGGAGCGAACATCAGAAACGTCAATTCATTCAAGCTATCACAATCTATTATATACACTCTGACAAGGCTCAAGAAGCTGCATATTCTTCCGATCTTTATCTCAGGGATACGGCACTTCTCAATACCGAATTCCCGAAACTTGTCCATAGATCCTGAAAGTGATATTCCAGTTGATTCATGATTTCTATTTGGTGATGATACAAATTCTTCAGAGATCACTAGAGATCTTGTAATACTCTTCAGCTTAGGAGAGCTCAAAAAACGTTCCAGACTTGGAGCAACATTGAAACTTATGGTCAAAATTTCTAAATGTTCCAAAGTTTCCAACTCCTTCACTGTGTCGAGATCCCATGGTAAATCAGATCCACGTAATTTCAAAACTTTCAAACTATACAGATCTGATATCCCAACAATACTTTTAAGCTTTGATGTATACTCCAAATCCAAGTGAATTAGTTTTTTCAACGCTTGTAGTACCTTCTTTGGCAAACAAGGTATACTGGTGAATGACAAGTTGAGATATTGCAAGGAAACTAGATTTGATATTCCTTCTGGCAATTCAGAGAGACTTCGATTACACCATAGATCCAAAACAGCTAGCTTTGGCATGTAATTGAAGAATTCACTCGAGATTCTTCCATATTCTCCCCTTCCCAGGAGCAAAGTTGTGAGTTCCATACATTCAGGACTGCCAACGAGATGAACAATCTTATTATCCCTTAATGACATCCTTCTCACAACGTTCCAATTCTTAACCTTTGGAATTTCAAGTAACCCAACACCTGCATGCACAACAAAGGCCTCTTTTTGTTTTCCCATTTCAGAAGCAATCCATAGGGCCATTTCACGAACAACATCATGCATACATACAACACCTCGTCCCCTTTCACCCCACTCCATCAACAATGATGCGCGGACAAGACTACCAATAATCTCATAACCCTCGTCTTCAGCCCTTTCTATACCTTCACTTCCATCTGTGATTTCCCCGCATATCCAGTGCTCTATCAATTCTTCTTTCACAATTCTAGCATCTTCCGGATATAATGCGCAATATAGTAAACACGATTTGACATGCTCCCCGTTAAGGCTATCGTAGCTAAATTTCAAAAGCGGAAGGACCTTATCCTCCATGCCATCAAACTCTGCAGCGTATGAATTCAAAACATTTATAGCGTTACGCCATTCTTGTACCGTCTTCTTGCATGACATGGTCTCGCCTATGATGTTGAGAGCCAATGGTAGGCCACAACATTTTTTTGCAACTGTTCTCGCAAGTTCAGGGATTCCAGGGTCGCTTCCAAGTGTTGTTTCTCCAACCTTCTTTTGGAACAAATCAAATGCATCTGTTTCGTCCAAGCATCGGACTTCCATTGGGTTTTCAACCCCCATGCGTCCACATACATCCTGAGAACGAGTGGTAAATGCCACTTTGCATCCTTTTTGTGATCTTGGATCCGGAACTCCGATCTCAGCTAATTCCACCTTCTCCCATATGTCATCTAAAAACAACACAAATTTCTTTTTCTTTAAGAAATTGAATAAATGAACCGCCTTTTGACCTTTATCTTTTTGGTTCCACTCCTCTCCACCAAGACCAACTTTTTCAGCGATACCATCTTGAATCTTCTCTATCTGCAATTCTTTAGACACCACAACCCAAATAACGTAATCAAATCCACGTCTACTCTTACTTAACTTATTGTTGATCTGTGTGAGAAGAGTTGTCTTCCCAACACCGCCCATACCGTGCATACCTATAAGACCAACTTCATCTTCCATGAGATGTTTCCATGCTTTCTTGAGCATTTTCTCTTGACCAACAATTGTCGCTTGAAGAGGTAGTTCCTCCGCCGATCGTGTTCGAGCTTGCTTAACTAGCCATCTATAGACTTCCTTCACCGGTTCATCCAAATTTATTGAGAGGGAGATACAATTCCCCATTTTGAAAAAAAGTTGAGATCTGAGCAAAAAAAAAACCAGAGAGGGTGAAGAGAATAATTGGAAGACGTTCTTTTTAGTCCACAAGAAGTAAGATAATGCTCCATCAAGTGAGTCTTGGATACCTTATATCCATGTTTGAAAAGTCACTCATCTTTTGAAAAATCAATAATTAATTTCTGTTTTTTGGTATTTTGGCTGACCGAAGAAGACTTGAGAATGAAATGTATTCACTGTTCCTATGAAATTCTAATACCGAATCCTATCTAAATTACGTGATTAAACACTTTACACGCCTAAGTTAATGATGTTGGAATCACGAAACAAGAAGATCATCACAATCACACTTATTACTACTAAAGCGTATATGTTTCACTGTTCCTATAAAGCTATTAGCTAAGACTTGACAAGAATCAATCTCTCTATAATCTAAGCCTTAATAACAAAAGAACAATCTCAGTTCAGTGAATTTAGCCTTATGTTATACTTGCTCGGCAAGTCTTGTCTAGAGTTTTCAGTAGTTTTTAGTATAAACTTTGTACGTTGTAAAGACGTCTATCAGTAGTAACTGAGAAACATACATATGTGACGACATTGAATACGAGTCTATTGTCTTCTTGATTTCGAACTTCAACGCGTTTCGTTTTGTGATCTTTGCTGTGAGAGTCACGCAATGGCCAGCGACGATCATATATAACAACACAACACCTCAACGTAAAGCTCAATTCCAAACATGAACACTAAGAGAATAAGTGCCTCTCTTAGTCAGTCTCTGATAAATTATAAAAATTTATGAAAATCTGTTTTCTAATGTACTTAATTATACGATATGCCATTAAAAATAGATAAAATATTGAATTAAGAAATTATCTTTCAAATTCAAATTAGTTAACATCTTTCTCATTTTCTTTCCACCTTTTTCCCCCCTTTTTTTTTGTTGTCGTTGGAATTAGACTTTTTTTAATCATTTCCTTATCAATTAAAACATTAAAACAAGTAACAATTGAAATCAATCAATTATTTTTAAATTTTGTTAAAAGTTTTAAAATTATATTAGTAAACCAAAAAATTCCATGTTTGAAATTTGCTTCCATGTTTTTATCTTTTTTCTGCCATGGGACCAATTTTTTTACCTAAACATTTTCATTTTAATGAATATTTACACTTTTAGCAAAAAAAAAAAAAAAAACCAAAAAATTCCGAATATAAAATGTCCGAATTTCAACCTAACCAAAAAGTGTTTTAAGTGCTCTTTGATCAATCACCTGAGAATCTGTCTATACGAATCATAATCAGAAACTGTAATTAGTTTGGTGTGTTACACGGACCAGTTCATTTGATCAGTTTGGCTGTTATTTTCTAATCTGTGTTATTGATACTTCTCCTTCTCCGCCGACACTACACAGTGAAACATCAAGCAATATGAGCAATCATCAAACTGTGAGATTCCTTTTCTCTCATTTTCCATTTTGTCCTTTAATAATGAGATCTCTCCAAATTATAGTGATTTGAATTGTCTTGAATCAAGCAGGTGTTGAGGCAATTAGAGCAATGGTGTGAGCTCAAAAATAAAGTGGTTCTTGTGACAGGAGCTTCCTCTGGTATAGGAAGAGAGATCTGTCTTGATCTAGGCAAAGCTGGTTGTAAGATTATCGCAGCAGCTCGTCGTGTTGATCGTCTCAACTCTCTCTGCTCTGAAATCAACAGCTTCGATTCAGCCGGGATCCAAGCCGCAGCACTTGAGTTAGACGTTTCATCGGACGGAGACACCATTCAGAGAGCGGTTAAAGAAGCTTGGGAAATCTTTGGAAACATAGATGTGTTGATTAACAATGCTGGAATCAGAGGCAATGTCAAGTCTAGTTTGGATTGGTCAGAAGAAGAATGGGACAAAGTCTTTAGAACCAATTTAACCGGATCTTGGCTAGTATCCAAATACGTCTGTGTTTTGATGCGTGATGCTAAACGCGGTGGCTCGGTGATTAACATCTCATCGATCTCTGGGCTTCACCGCGGTTTGTTGCCCGGTGGACTTGCATATGCTTGTTCTAAAGGTGGTGTTGACACCATAACGAGGATGATGGCTATTGAGTTAGGTGTTTAGAAGACTAGGTTTTTGATATAATGTATTGAGATTTGCTTCGTCCTGACCTGTTGTGTTACCAAACTCACAACTTTACACATATAGGATAACCGATATATATAGTTGAATGATTTCTACGATGTTATAAGGATTCAAATCATCATAGAAGATGTATATATTTTCCTTTTCTTTCCAAGGAAATTGATCTTTACTCACAAGCAATTAAAGATCTATTCATTGTTATTATTATGAACAATATGTTTGCAAGATTTATCATAAGAAATCACAAGAATCGGAAATGCTGATCAATTCAAAGCCATTCATCATCACTAGTCTTTAAATAATAATAAAAACACACAGAAAGCAATACAGAGTATGATACAGATTTCACATAATGCAATACAGAGCATGATACAGATTTCACATAGATAAAAGAGATAGAAAGTTTCCCTTTTGAACAAATTATTAACACAACTGGCGACATTATCAACTTCCCACTCACCTCAATTGGGTCTCCTTCTTCTTGAATCAATAACCCTATAATAAAAAATGAGACAAAAAGAGACGAGAGGCATTAAAGATGTAAGCAGTTAGAATCCTTGAAAAACTAAATAAGAGAAAGAGGATAAATGTTAGACCTTTAATCCATTTTCACCCTGCTTGCCACTTTTGGAATCGAATTCAGATTTGGACAATTCCTTACATCGATTTTCTCTAGACATGGAAAGGGTAGAGGACTCCAATATATATTCTTCAGCTTCGGTAGATTTTCTAAACAAAGAACATTCAGCTTTTGGAAAGGAACAATCCCTGATTCTTCAACTTCACACGCTTTCTCTTCTTTTATTATATCTTCTAGGTCTTTTGCTTCCCGAACTTGAAGAATTCTAAGATTTGGAGCGAACATCAGAAACGTCAATTCCTTCAAGCTATCACAATCTATTATATACACTCTGACAAGGCTCAAGAAGCTGCATATTCTTCCGATCTTTATCTCAGGGATACGGCAGCTCTCAATTCTGAATTCCCGAAGCTTGTCCATAGATCCTGAAAGTGATATTCCAGTTGATTCATGATTTCTATTTGGTGATGATACAAATTCTTCAGAGATCACTAGAGATCTTGTAATACTCTTCAGCTTAGGAGAGCTCAAAAAACGTTCCAGACTTGGAGCAACATTGAAACTTATGGTCAAAATTTCTAAATGTTCCAAAGTTTCCAACTCCTTCACTGTGTCGAGATCCCATGGTAAATCAGATCCACGTAATTTCAAAACTTTCAAACTATACAGATCTGATATCCCAACAATACTTTTAAGCTTTGATGTATACTGCAAATCCAAGTGAATTAGTTTTTTCAACGCTTGTAGTACCTTCTTTGGCAAACAAGGTATACTGGTGAATGACAAGTTGAGATATTGCAAGGAAACTAGATTTGATATTCCTTCTGGCAATTCAGAGAGACTTCGATTACACCATAGATCCAAAACAGCTAGCTTTGGCATGTAATTGAAGAATTCACTCGAGATTCTTCCATATTCTCCCCTTCCCAGGAGCAAAGTTGTGAGTTCCATACATTCAGGACTGCCAACGAGATGAACAATCTTATTATCCCTTAATGACATCCTTCTCACAACGTTCCAATTCTTAACCTTTGGAATTTCAAGTAACCCAACACCTGCATGCACAACAAAGGCCTCTTTTTGTTTTCCCATTTCAGAAGCAATCCATAGGGCCATTTCACGAACAACATCATGCATACATACAACACCTCGTCCCCTTTCACCCCACTCCATCAACAATGATGCGCGGACAAGACTACCAATAATCTCATAACCCTCGTCTTCAGCCCTTTCTATACCTTCACTTCCATCTGTGATTTCCCCGCATATCCAGTGCTCTATCAATTCTTCTTTCACAATTCTAGCATCTTCCGGATATAATGCGCAATATAGTAAACACGATTTGACATGCTCCCCGTTAAGGCTATCGTAGCTAAATTTCAAAAGCGGAAGGACCTTATCCTCCATGCCATCAAACTCTGCAGCGTATGAATTCAAAACATTTATAGCGTTACGCCATTCTTGTACCGTCTTCTTGCATGACATGGTCTCGCCTATGATGTTGAGAGCCAATGGTAGGCCACAACATTTTTTTGCAACTGTTCTCGCAAGTTCAGGGATTCCAGGGTCGCTTCCAAGTGTTGTTTCTCCAACCTTCTTTTGGAACAAATCAAATGCATCTGTTTCGTCCAAGCATCGGACTTCCATTGGGTTTTCAACCCCCATGCGTCCACATACATCCTGAGAACGAGTGGTAAATGCCACTTTGCATCCTTTTTGTGATCTTGGATCCGGAACTCCGATCTCAGCTAATTCCACCTTCTCCCATATGTCATCTAAAAACAACACAAATTTCTTTTTCTTTAAGAAATTGAATAAATGAACCGCCTTTTGACCTTTATCTTTTTGGTTCCACTCCTCTCCACCAAGACCAACTTTTTCAGCGATACCATCTTGAATCTTCTCTATCTGCAATTCTTTAGACACCACAACCCAAATAACGTAATCAAATCCACGTCTACTCTTACTTAACTTATTGTTGATCTGTGTGAGAAGAGTTGTCTTCCCAACACCGCCCATACCGTGCATACCTATAAGACCAACTTCATCTTCCATGAGATGTTTCCATGCTTTCTTGAGCATTTTCTCTTGACCAACAATTGTCGCTTGAAGAGGTAGTTCCTCCGCCGATCGTGTTCGAGCTTGCTTAACTAGCCATCTATAGACTTCCTTCACCGGTTCATCCAAATTTATTGAGAGGGAGATACAATTCCCCATTTTGAAAAAAAGTTGAGATCTGAGCAAAAAAAAAACCAGAGAGGGTGAAGAGAATAATTGGAAGACGTTCTTTTTAGTCCACAAGAAGTAAGATAATGCTCCATCAAGTGAGTCCAAGGATATGTGCAATTTCCATGTTTGAAAAGTCACTCATCTTTTGAAAAATCAATAATTAATTTCTGTTTTTTGGTATTTTGGCTGACCGAAGAAGACTTGAGAATGAAATGTATTCACTGTTCCTATGAAATTCTAATACCGAATCCTATCTAAATTACGTGATTAAACACTTTACACGCCTAAGTTAATGATGTTGGAATCACGAAACAAGAAGATCATCACAATCACACTTATTACTACTAAAGCGTATATGTTTCACTGTTCCTATAAAGCTATTAGCTAAGACTTGACAAGAATCAATCTCTCTATAATCTAAGCCTTAATAACAAAAGAACAATCTCAGTTCAGTGAATTTAGCCTTATGTTATACTTGCTCGGCAAGTCTTGTCTAGAGTTTTCAGTAGTTTTTAGTATAAACTTTGTACGTTGTAAAGACGTCTATCAGTAGTAACTGAGAAACATACATATGTGACGACATTGAATACGAGTCTATTGTCTTCTTGATTTCGAACTTCAACGCGTTTCGTTTTGTGATCTTTGCTGTGAGAGTCACGCAATGGCCAGCGACGATCATATATAACAACACAACACCTCAACGTAAAGCTCAATTCCAAACATGAACACTAAGAGAATAAGTGTCTCTCTTAGTCAGTCTCTGATAAATTATAAAAATTTATGAAAATCTGTTTTCTAATGTACTTAATTATACGATATGCCATTAAAAATAGATAAAATATTGAATTAAGAAATTATCTTTCAAATTAATTAACATCTTTCTCATTTTCTTTCCACCTTTTTCCTCCTTTTTTTTTGGTCGTTGGAATTAGACTTTTTTAATCATTTCCTTATCAATTAAAACATTAAAACAAGTAACAATTGAAATCAATCAATTTTTTTTAAATTTTGTTAAAAGTTTTAAAATTATCTTGATTAAGCAGGTGTTGAGGCAATTGGAGCCATGGTGTGAGCTCAAAGATAAAGTGGTTCTTGTGGCAGGAGCTTCCTCTGGCATAGGAAGAGAGATCTGTCTTGATCTTGGCAAAGCTGGTTGTAAGATTATCGCAGCAGCCCGTCGTGTGGATAGACTCAACTCTCTCTGTTCTGAAATCAATAGCTTCGGTTCAACCGGGATCCAAGCCGCAGCACTTGAGTTAGACGTTTCATCGGACGGAGCCACCATTCAGAAAGCGGTTAAAGAGGCTTGGGAAATCTTTGGAAACATCGATGTGTTGATTAACAATGCTGGAATCAGAGGCAATGTCAAGTCCAGTTGATTAACTAATGTCAAGATTTTTCTTATATTCACCCTCTCTGGTATTCCCTTGCTAATATGTGTTACATACTTTTAAAAGTAGAAAACGCATCTTATAAAGTAATTGAGTTTTTCAAATTTCATGGTTTTGATTAAATAAAGATAAAAGCGCATGTGTTACTATGAATATATGGGACATAAACAAAAAGGTGGTTGAGTACTGTACCGGTCATATATTAGTAGGTGTTGGGTGAACAACTTGAAGAAAAAAATAAGTAATTAAACCAAATCCACTTTTTAATTTAATTGATGTGATAAGAAGAAGAGTTATATTATATCAAAACCACTTTCAAAAATAAAATATTATTGAAGTGATTAAAATTCAAGGGAACAAAATTTAAACGCCAAAAAAATGCAAACGTATAAATGTTGTTGGTTGTGGACAGTCTTCATAATAAACAGAAGCTTTCATAGTTTGGGTGGCTAAGAGTCTAAGACTGAGACATGTACAACCTTATGAGGTAAACTTTGGCACTAAAACTCTTCGGATAGAGAGAAGACCATGATATCATGGTTAGGAACAGAGTAGCTACAAACCACATTCAAACACACAAATCTTTATATTATGTTCACAATAGAAATTGTACCCAATCTGACTAGAATCAGACTCACACTTTGCATCTTCTTTACCAGTTGTGTTATCAAACTCCTACTTTAGTTAAGCCAATGTTTCTTTCTTGGATTTATCACAATACTTTACAAAAATAGGATAGTTGATTTTTGTGAATATATGATTGTCACAATGTTATAAGGATTCAAATCATCATTAGTTTCAACAATTTTTTTGCAATATTATTAGAAATCATAGTCACACAATGCCAATACAGAGTATTATAATAAAAAGATAGAAAGTTTTGATTTGGAACAAATTAACCCGAACGATCGACGACATTATGAACCTCCCTTAGTAAATAAGCATGGGTCTCCTTCTCCTAGAATCAATCCTCCTATAATAAAAACTAACACAGTCAAAAAGAATCGAGAGGCATACATATGGAAGCAGTTAGAATCCTTGAAAATCAAATAAGAGAAGATAAATAAATGTTATACCTGTTTGCATGAAGATAAGAATCGTATTTTGGTAGCTTCGTCTTCCCATTGCACATCTTTAATCCATCGTGGAGATTCGTAATGTATGATGCATCCATTTTCACCTTGCTTGCCACTTTTGGAATCAAGTGGAAGCTTTTTCAGATTTGGACAATTCCTTACTTCGATTTTCTCTAGGCATGGAAAGGGTAGAGGACTCCAATATATATTCTTCAGCTTCGGTAGATAACCTAAACGAAGAAAATTCAGCTTTTGGAAAGGAATATTCACCGATTCTTCACATTCACAAGCATTCTCTCTGTTTATTATATCTTCCATGTCTTTTGCATCAAAAATACCAAGAACTCTAAGATTTGGAGCGAACATCAGAAACGTCAATTCCTTCAAGCTATCACAACCTCTTATATACACTCCGACAAGGCTCAAGAAGCTGTATCTCCTTCCGATCTTTATCTCAGGGATACGGCACTTCTCAATACTGAATACCCGAAGCTTGTCCATAGATCCTGAAAGTGATATTCCAGTTGATTCAAGATTTCTATTTGGTGATGATACAAAATGATCAGAGATCTTTAGAAATCGTGTACGACTCATCAGCCTAGGAGAGCTCAAAAAACGTTCCAGACTTGGAGTAACATTGAAATTTATGGTTAAAATTTCTAAATGTTTCAAAGTTTCCAACTCCTTCACTGTGTCGAGATCCCATGGTAAATCAGATCCACGTAATTTCAAAACTTTCAAACTATACAGATCTGATATCCCAACAATACTTTTAAGCTTTGATGTATACTCCAAATCCAAGTGAATTAGTTTTTTCAACTCTTGTAGTACCTTCTTTGGCAAACAGCGTATACCGGTTGCTTTCAAGTTGAGATATTGCAAGGAAACTAGATTTGATATTCCTTCCGGCAATTCAGAGAGATTTTCATTACCTGATAGATCCAAAACAACTAGCTTTGGCATGTAACTGAAGAATTCACTTGAGATCTTTTCCAATTCACTCGAGATTCTTCCATATTCTCCCCTTCCCAGGAGCAAAGTTGTGAGTTCCATACATTCAGGGCTGCCATCGAGATTAACAATCTTATTATCCCTTAACGACATCTTTCTCACAACGTTCCAATTCTTAACCTTTGGAATTTCAAGTAACCCAACACCTGCACGCACAACGAAGGCCTCTTTTTGTGTTCCCAATTCAGAAGCGATCCATAAGGCCATTTCACGAACAACATCATGCATACATACAACACCTCGTCCAAGTTTATCATCCCCCTCCATCAACAATGATGCGCGGACAAGACTACCAATAATCTCATGACCCTTGTCTTCAGCCTTTTCTATACCTTCACTTCCATCTATGATATCCTCGCATATCCAGTACTCTATCAATTCTTCTTTCACAATTTGAGCATCTTCTGGATATAACGCACAGTATAGCAAACACGATTTGACATGCTCCCCTTTAAGGCTATCATAGCTAAATTTCAAAAGTGGAAGGACCTTATCGACCATGCCTTCAAACTCTGCAGCGTATGAATTCAAAACATTTATAGCGTTACGCCATTCTTCTACCGTCTTCTTGCATGACATGGTCTCGCCTATGATGTTGAGAGCCAATGGTAGGCCACAACATTTTTTAACAACTTTACTTGCAATTTCAGGGATTCCGGGATGGCTTCCAAGTGTTGTTTCTCCAACCTTCTTTTGGAACAAATCAAATGCATCCGCTTCCTCCAAGCATCGGACTTCCATTGGGTTTTCAACCCCCATGCGTCCACATACGTCTTGAGAACGAGTGGTAAATGCCACTTTGCATCCTTTTAGTGATCTTGGATCCGGAACTCCGATCTCAGCTAATTCCACCTTCTCCCATATGTCATCTAAAAACAACACAAATTTCTTTTTCTTTAAGAAATTGAATAAATGAACAGCCTTTTGACCTTTATCTTTTACTTTCCACTCCTCTTCACCAAGACCAACTTTTTGGGCGATATCATCTTGAATCTTCCCTATCTGCAACTCTTTTGACACCACAACCCAAATAACGTAGTCAAAACCATGTCTATTCTCACTTAACTTATTGTTGATCTGTGTGAGAAGAGTTGTCTTCCCTACACCGCCCATACCGTACATACCTATAAGACCAACTCCATCTTCCATGAGATGTTTCCATGCTTTCTTGAGCATTTTCTCTTGACCAACAATTGTCGGTTGAAGAGGTAGCTCCTCCACCTCATCAGGTGTAAGAGCTTGCGCAGTGATCTCTTTAAAATCTTTATTTTTCAGTTTCTCAACTTTCCCCAACGTCAAGAAAACACTTTTCCCGTAATGGTAGCTTGACAGTAACCTCTTAGAGCAAAACCCACAAAGACACAGCCTTTGGAGTTCAACATTTCTAGCACTAAAGATATCATTAACTTCCTTTTGAATAGTCTCAACTCTATCAAGCCATACCTGGAATTCGGCAAGCCTTTGTAGACCGCTATCCTCTTCTCTTTTGAGCTTTGTTGACAAATCATCCCGCTTAGCCTTGAGCTCTGCTATGGTTGTCTCCAAAGCCGTGAGGTTCTTCTCGAGATTGTGAGTGTAACCAACTTTCTCGTCTAGACATTGAGACACTTTATTCACCAAATTATCCAAAGGTACTGAGAGGGAGACACAACTCCCCATTTTCAGTAAACTTGAGATCTGAAAATTTGAAATCTACTAGTTTTTTGAACAAAAACCAAAGAGAATGTAGATAGATGTTTTCTTTTAGCTCACAAGAAGCACAGAGAATAATCCAAAGACGTTCTTTTTAGTCCACAAGAAGTAAGATAATGTTCGATAGAGTGAGTCCAAAGATATTTATGCAATTTGCATGGTTGAAAAATCACTCATTATTTGGAAAATTTAATAAATTTTTGGTTAATAAAATTGTGATTTGCTGACATTTATACAGTTGTGGCGCTGACCGCTGACCAAAGAAGACCTGAGAAAAAAAAAAAATCACTGTTCCTATGAAGCGATCGGAAAGCTTATGAAGAGAATCATAGTAATCAATCTTTCTAATCTAAGCCTTAATAACAAAAGAACTATCTCAAATCTATGGATTATTACTAGTGGGCTTATAACTGTATTAGCCTTATCATATGTTATACTTGCTCCGCAAGTCTTGTCTAGGGGTTTGAGTAGCTCACGGTTCACCTGTGTGTTATTGTGTATATATAATATACTGTATTATGTATAAGTTGTAAGTCCAGATACGAGTCTACTGTTTCTTAAGTTTTATTTTGTGGTCCTCTCTGTCAGAGTCATAGTATATAGCCAGAGAAGATGATAAACCCCCGCGAGAAAAGGACCTTAACGTAGAACATTGCGCAAGTAAATCCACAATTCCAAGCACAAGTGTCTCTCTTGTCTACTTCTACTGTATGATAAACTGATAACTTTATAAGAAAATCCTATGTTAATTATATTATACTAGTTTAGTATCCGTCCGATGGACGGGTTATATTTATTTAAAATTAAATTTAAATTAAAATAAAATTAAAATTTATTATAACTTATAAAAAATAATTTCAAAATCTTTTTTTTTTGAAAAAATAAGAGTAATTATTTTCATTTGGAAAGAGATTTTATGTGGTTTGAAGTATCAAATAAACGTGTGTATATATATATATATATATCTTAAAATTCGTTATTATATGTTAATTATAAAAATTTAGTAATGTCAAACTGTCAATTACCAAAACATTTGGGAGCTATTTGGGAGCTATTCACCATTATTCATATTATTGCTAAAATATTTTAAAAAATCTTAATTTAGCAATTATCCTCTAAAACATGATTATACCATTTTGTAAAAATTGTTATTTTTTAACTTTCAATTTTTCAAAAAATCATTCTACTATGAAAATTAATTAATTATTATTTAATATGATGGTAAAGTTCTTTCAAATTAACATCAATCTAAAATATGATGTTAAATACAAATATAGTCACTTGTAAATAAGTTCCTATAAACAACGCAAATAAACATAAAGATTCTAAAATAAATTATAGCATCGTTGAAAAAAATATTTAAAAATCTTTCAAATACGAATTATAAAAAACTACATATTTTTAAACAAATATTTTATAATTAATATATTACAAATTATATTGAACTTTTGTTTTCTTTAATTTAAGCTAAAAATATTATTTTTGAATATATTTTATTCACCCGTATGTTTTAGACAATGAAATTGCTCAATGGCATAATACATTACAAATTTTGGCCATTTTAATCCTCGACTTCCACTGTGGCCATTAAAATCATAGACTTCTTGTTTACGTTATTTTTAAATCACAATCTTCTGTTGACTAAGCCAGATTGAACATGTTGTCAAATCAAATTCTCTAATAGAGGAGTTAACAGTCGTTTAGGATCGTTAATCAATCTCTGTTAAGTCAAAAAATGAGAATCACAAGGACAAGCGACGTCGTGCTGCCTTAAACGAAATGCCTAAATCTCCAAATCGACCTCGCTTGTTTATTTAGTTAAACTCAAAATCTATTTTATTTGTAAAATGTAAATCCTAATTCTCCTTTATGAACCCAAACTGATAAATAACTTTGTAATTAATTGTTAAAACCTAAATCTCACTCCTCTTTTATAAACCTAAACCAATAAATAATTTCGTTTAATTATAAAATCTAAATTATAGTGCGCATTTATAAACTCAAACCAACATATAACCCTTATAATTGTAAAACCTACAACTGACAAAACCAAAAATTAGGTTAATAGTTGAAAGAGAATTTTTGAGAAAATACCCCTTTTGGTGTACCCCTTTTAAAAAATACACCAATTTTCAATTCATTTTTAAAAATACCCCATTTAAAATATGAAAGATTGTAAACTTTTATATAGTTTATAGTTTATAAGGTACATCTAGATCATCATTACTACTGAGAGACTTTTAAAAGGTTCTAAACGCCATTTATAAGACTTTTTAAAGGTTTTTATAAGGTTTACAAAGTTTTTATATGATTTTTAAATAATGTTTAAAAGGTATTTATACGGTATTTGTGAAATATATAGATATAAATTTACACACATATAAAGATAATTTGTGTCTATATATATAAGCTTACACATATTTTTTTTTTTGATAAATATCAATCTTTTTACCTTTTAATTAATCAAAAAAACCATTTTTCCAGTAATACTTTTTAAAAATACCCCTATTTCAAACTTTATCAAAACAACCACTAAAACCACTAAAAATGTTGAAATTTATCCAAATATGTATGTAAACTTATAAATATACACACAACTTACCTTTATATGTATAAACTTTTATATATTTTTCATAAATAGCGTAAATAACTTATAAATACCTTTTAAAAACCTTATAAACCCTTTTAAAAACCTTATAAAACTTGTAGAAACTATTTAAAACCTTTTAAAACATTATAAAATATTTGTATCAAATTTATTATATAGAAGTACCTTATGAATCATATAAAAGTTTCTAATTTTTCATATTTAAACAGGGATATTTTTGAAAATGGATAGATAAAGGGGGTACTTTTGAAAAGGGGTATTTCTCAAAAATTCTCTTTAATTCTTTATAATTATTTTATATATTTTATTTTTTAATATTGTTTAAATAATCTATTTTATCTTAATATTAACAAAATTAGATATAACATATTGCGACATCTTATGTTTTACTTGACACTTATCATGATCACGTGAGTTAGTAAATTTAAAAACCAAGTTTCGACATATAATCTCGTTTAATTGTTAAACTTAAACCATAATTTTAATTTACAAAGATAAACCATAATTTTCATTTATCATTTATATACCCAAACCAACAAATAACCTGTTTTAATTGTAAAATTAAATTTTAAACCTTAATCCTCTTCTGTAAAAAAAAACCGACATATAGTCTTGTTAATTATAAATTTTAAATCCCTATCTTATTAATAAACCAAATTGACATAACTGAAATAAGGTTATTTGTTTAATTTTATTAATAATTTTTAATATATAATTCTTTATTATATTTATTTTATATATTTCTTTTTTGATAGGGTTAATAATTTTTCTATTTTGTCTAAATATTAACAAAATTAGAATCGACACGTGTCAACATCTTATCGTTTATAATTGACACATAAATTCTTTATTATATTTATTTTATATATTTCCTTTTTTGATAGGTTTAATAATTTTTCTATTTTATCTAAATATTAACAAAATTAGAATCGACACGTGTCAACATCTTATCGTTTATAATTGACACATGTCACAATCTTGTTAATGGCTGACTTTGAAAACTAAGGTTTATATAATAAGATGTCATTAGAAAATATATAATATACTGAATTATGGAAAGATACAATTATCCAAAACAATAAAATTTAATTTAATTAATTACTTTCAAATTATGTTAAACTTCGTCCCAAAATTTAATTTAATCATTTTTTAAAAATGAAAATTTGTCCTAAAATTGATTTTCTTTTTGTATGAATGTGAAATTATATCCAAAAAATAAAACTGTTTTATAAAGAATGCATCATTTAGGTTGATTGTTTTTAAAGCATTAAATGATGGAATAAAACTTTAAAACCAATAACGGAATGGTTGGAAAAGATATTATTACTAAACCGAGATTTCTGATTTCAATAAAACTGTGTTAAACACTTAAAATGTAGAAACTCTAATTAGTTTGGTGTATTACATGAACCAGTTTGGTGTATTACATGAACCAGTCTAATTATACCTAAACAAAAGTTTTTAAGTGTTCTTTGATCAGTTACCTGAGAATCTATGAATCACAATCAGAAACTCTAATTAGTTTGGTGTATTACATGAACCAGTTTATATTGCCACGTTGATTTGTTGTTTTGGCTGTTATTTTCTAATTTGTGTTATTGATACTTCTCCTTCTCCGCCGACACATACAGTAAAACATCAAGCATTATGAGCAATCATCAAACTGTGAGATTCCTTTTCTCTCATTTTCCATTTTGTCCTTTCACTTTCTTAATATTGAGATCTCTCAGTGATTTGAATTGTCTTGATCAAGCAGGTGTTGAGACAATTGGAGCCATGGTGTGAGCTCAAAGATAAAGTGGTTCTTGTGACAGGAGCTTCCTCTGGTATAGGAAGAGAGATCTGTCTTGATCTAGGCAAAGCTGGTTGTAAGATTATCGCAGCAGCCCGTCGCGTTGATAGACTCAACTCTCTCTGTTCTGAATTCAACAGCTTCGGTACAACCGGGGTCCATGCCGCAGCACTTGAGTTAGACGTATCATCGGACGGAGCCACCATTAAGAGAGCGGTTCAAGAGGCTTGGGAAATCTTTGGAAACATCGATGTGTTGATTAACAATGCTGGAATCAGAGGCAATGTCAAGTCTAGTTTGGATTGGTCAGAAGAAGAATGGGACAAAGTCTTTAGAACAAACTTAACCGGGTCTTGGCTAGTATCCAAATACGTGTGTGTTTTGATGCGTGATGCTAAACGCGGTGGCTCGGTGATTAACATCTCGTCGATCTCTGGGCTTCACCGCGGTTTGTTGCCCGGTGGACTTGCCTATGCTTGTTCGAAAGGCGGTGTTGACACCATGACAAGGATGATGGCTATTGAGTTAGGTGTTTATAAGATCAGAGTGAATTCGATCGCGCCAGGGCTTTTCAGGTCAGAGATCACACAAGCTCTTATGCAGAAAGAGTGGCTCAAGAAAGTTACCGAACGGACTGTACCGTTAAAGATGCAACAGACTGTTGATCCGGGGCTTACATCTCTCGTGCGCTATCTCATTCACGATTCTTCTCGATATGTCACCGGGAATACATACATTGTCGATTCAGGAACTACACTGCCTGGTGTGCCCATTTTTTCTTCTCTCTAAAAATCGTAATCAAAATCTTGTATGCGCTTGTACATTGTGATAAGAACGAAGTCGTTTCCAATAAATGACAGTATTGGCACTAACATTAACTTTACTTTCTCAGACTTTTTTTTGTTTATGGGTACAGAGAGAAATCTTGATAAGCTTGAGAAACTAAGTTATGATCTTCCCATTCGTCTCTATACGTCTCTGGATGGGCTCTCTTCCTCGCACCAGTCTTGAAATACATCTCTTTCCGCCATTCCTCTGTTTCCGGGCATCCACATTGTGAAGCCAACCAATTATTGTACTCAAACTGCGACAAAACAAAAATGTTGTTTATATGTTTCTGTTTTAGATTTGGTTTCTGAGTAGGAAACATAAGTTAAAGAAAATTCATACTTGAGTAATCCCCATCTGGTGAGTATATCGCTTTGCAATCCCTGCGGCTTCGAGTGTGGAGTATAAGGTTTTGATTTCTATCATCATATCTTCCTTAGAGGGCAGTGGGATTCGACCTGACAAAACACCTGCAATCCACTTGCTTTGCAGCTCAAACATAGGAAAAGGTACAACCTGAAATTGAATTTGTTACAGATTTGATTATTCAACAAATTGAAAAGTTAAGGGATAATATGAAATTGCTTCAAAGCAAGTTAGAGCTGTATACCTTCCATGGTATCCCAACGAAGGAGAGCCACGGTGCGAATTCTGGAGGGAAGACGTCTTTGTACAATGGCCCGACACGGTTATCATCTACCGTAACATTTCCATTGGTTTCAAGAAACGGGAAGTGATACTTATACCTATAGAAAGTAAAGAGTTTTGTTAAACAACCACACTTTCAACAACAACAAAAGAAAACTGAAGAGAGAATGAATACCCAGTGCAATGCATAATAACATCAACCGAAATAGTTTTCCCGTTCTGAAAAAGCAATGAACCATCCTGATGGACACACTCAATCTGCATGAGATTCAAGAAAACATAAACTTATTTCTCATCCTGATCATCAAATCACTGCAAGTAATACTTAGAAACTAACCCACCATTGAATGCATCCATAGATTACTGTAACCAGACCGCTTGATAAAGGTATCAGCTGCATTTGACCTACAAGCCACATGAACTTCTTTGGCAACTCTAGCAATATCCCTACTTATATCATCAGCACTTGCAGAGTTCCCTATAAGCACAACAACCTATAAACCAATAAGATCACATCACACCAAAGTACCTAACAGTATCATCTTTAGAAATGAGTACCTGATCTTTGAATGGTTCTGGAATACGATAATTATGACTATGCATCTCCTTCCCTGGCCAAGAACTTATCCCTAAAAGTTTCCAAAATACAAAATCACAATCACACTTCTCACTGTTCCAATTCGATGAATCAATGGAGATTAGATTACCAGGAATTTCAGCAAGACGAGGTTCAATGTAATGTCCATTACAAACAACAACAGCATCGTAAATCTCATCACGAAGCTCTTTCTTCTCCTTCTCCGTAGATTCAATCCTCCATTTTCCGGTTCCTTCTTCCACCGCCGGAGCAACCTTCAGAACCGCCGTCTCAAACCTAACCATCTCCTCAATCGCAAACTCCTTGGCGAAATCTTGCAAATACGCCAAAACTTCACCATGACTCGGAAACCTCCTCTGATCTCGAGATTTCGATACACCGGAACGAACCACGAACGGGAAGTCTCTGTATCCCATACACTCTCGGGGGAGATTAGTTCGGAGAGAGCCATAGACGCTCGAATGAACAACGGATCGGGTCGGGTCAACGCTTAACGGATCGGGTTCGGTATGATCGGTGTAGATCCAGGTTCCTCCGACTTGTTTTTGTCTCTCGAAAACGACCACCGAGTGACCTTCTCGCCGGAGCTCTCGCGCCGCGACTAATCCGGCGGCTCCGGCGCCGATGACTGCCACGTGGTGTGATCTGATTGGTGTTAAGGAAGGTGCCATTTGGGTTTTTACCAAACTCTTTAGCGATGATGAGAATATACACTAACGGCCCCTTTGATAAATATGTGTGGCCCAAAAAAAAAAACTCATGAACCACAAATTCCTGAGAATCGTTCAAACGCTGCGTTTTATGGATTTTATAACCAAATAACTAAACCACTTCAAATAGATTCGTTAGTAAACCGGTTTGGTAATAACTTCGGCCATGGTGCTCTAACGTCATTTCAAAATTTAATAGAATTTGTTTGGGTCAATATCAAAATTTCAATCTTCAAACGTCATTTAATAGAATTTATCACAAAATATTTATAGAAACTATTGTATAAAGTATAAACCATGTTAATGCTTAGGTCTTTATTTGACTATTAGAATCATCACAAATAATTTATAGCCTTTAACTTACAAGTTACAACCTCTTTTAAGCCATAACCAATGAGTGTAAAATGCAAACTACTTTGTTTCTTTCTTTTATTCTCAAAGACGGCTTCACAAAATATTAATTAGATGTGAATCTAACGAAATCTTCATATGCTTCTGCAATGAGGTGATCATCAGCCCAATCGTCTTTATACGTAATGGATTGGGCTTGTATTCTCTTGAACACAATGTAAAACATTTGCTCTCTCCATTTTTCAATCCGAGGATAGTCACATTGGTCAGCAAGCCAGTTGTCGTATACAAACTGTAACCAAAATAAACATTCGAATTAATGTATTCTTTATTTTTAAGCTAATGTTTTTCACACATGTTAGGGGAAGAAGAGATAGTATACGAACCTGAGAATCTAGTTCTGCCATAAGATGTGTGTATCTCTTGGGAAGACCTGAGGCTTCGAGCTTCGCGTAAAACATCTTAGTATCTTCCATCATCTCATCTTGTGAGGGGAGTGAAATCTGACCAGCCAAAACCGCAGCTACCCACTTGCTTTGGAGTTCAAACATTGGAAAAGGAGTTACCTATAAACATCCAAAACATTAACCAACAAGTCCATTGACATAAAGAGGTTTCAACTTCATATTCTAATCACACTTGTATGAATCATCAACCTGCCATGGTAATCCGATGAATGATAGTTCCGGAGAAAGAGCTGGTGAGAAGATATGCTTATATAATGGTCCAACACAGTTATCTTCAACGGTCACTTCGCCTTTCGTATCGAGAAATGGGAAGTAATATTTGTACCTAATCATATAAATTGTCACATTAAAAATGTTTAACACTCGCTATGCTATTTTGTTTCATTGGTAAGTAAGTTCTATGCATGACTGAACAATTACCCGGTGCAATGCATAATAGTATCAGCGTAAACCGTCTTCCCATTACGAAATACCACCGAACCATCTCTACAGACAGTTTCAACCTGAAATGCATTGTAGCTAACTAGAATTAATCTTCTTTATATGATTTGATCTGATCAAATAAATATGATTTGATTCTTACAGTAGAGTGAAGCCATAAATTGTCGTATCCGGGAACTTGTTCGTATGTTTCCGGTTTAGTCGATCTTGAAGATAGATGGACTTCTTTTGTAACGTTTGCTATATCTCTACTTATATCGACTCCACTCACTGAGCTTCCGATTACCACCACCACCTAGTAAATTTCAAACTTCATTACAGAAACTCAATCAAGAACATAAATAAAGATTCATGTAATGACCATGAGATCTTATTTGTTTTTTTGTATTTACTTGATCTCTAAATTGATCTGGAACTCGATAATTGTGGCTGTGAATTTGCTTTCCTGGCCATGACTCTATGCCTAAAAAAACAAATTATTACAAAAATAATGATTCTTGATTTTTATTAGGACAAAAAAAAAAAACAAGACCAATGAAAAAAGTATGACGAGGGATTATATTAATTACCAGGGATTAGAGCATGACGAGGCTCTGTATAGTGACCGTTACAAACTACGACGGCGTCATAAATCTCATCGGAGATATCACCGGAGTTTCTAAACTCAACTCTCCACTTCTTTTGATTCTCAGCCGCCGGCTCAGCCCTCACAACATCCGTCTCGAACCGAATCATCTCTTCAATCTTGAACTCTCTGGCAAAGTCTTTCAAGTAAGCAAGAACCTCTCTATGACCCGGATGCCTTCTCGGATCTCTTGACCCGTTTTCGGGTCGGGTCGAAAACGGGAAATCGGTGAAACCCATGCATTCGCGTGGGATTATGGTTCGGAGAGAATTATAGAGACTCGAGTGGATTACGGGTCGGGTCGGATCTATGCTTAGCGGGTCGGATTCGACGTTTGGCGTGTAAGCCCATACGCCACCGATTTGGTTCCCACGCTCGAAAACAACGACGGAGTGGCCCTTGTGGTGGAGCTCTCGAGCCGCCACAAGTCCGGCTGCTCCGGCACCGATTACCGCCACGTGGCAGGATGTGGTAGGAGAATTTACTGTTGGTGCCATAATTAACTAGGATATCCAATGGGAAGTTTTATTTTGGTAATGGTGATGTTATTAATCTGATTTCATTGGCTTTGTGAAGAAGTAGTTGATAATGTTATATAACCTTGAATATGAATGTTAATATTGGGAGATAGAGAACCTGAGATCGACGGTTGAGATAACTAATTGTTAACCTTATTGAATATGAAATTATTTCAAATAATTAAAAAGACAATTTAGAACGTTAACTAATGTTTTGTATTGAACGTTCACCATATTGTTTGTTTCATGTGAGTATAAGATGATAAAAGAAAACAATGAATGTGACATGTTGTCTGAGTAAAGACTCAAGAGTGATGGATGATTTGAGACGAAGCCGCCAATTATGAAAAATAGGGAATAGGTCGTATATTCTACTGAAGCTAGCAAACTCCATTTTGATATCTGCCGATGCTACAAGGCACTAAATCGAACGGCTCAAATTGCATCATGATTCAATAAAATATTATGTTCAAATATATCACATATAAATATATTTGACATATAAAGACAACAAAATCTTCAAGTTACGTACGTGATTTTGCTCTTTGTTTTCCGGTGTCAATTGTCCAAATTATGCAGAATCATCTAAGGTACAGGCAAATTCTTCTACGAGAAAAAAAAAGAAAGAAAAATATTTAACAATTTATATAATTAACAAGCACTCATATACATTTTGGAAGGTTACAAATTGATACATACATTTGAAAATACTCTTTTATATGTAAACAGAACAAAAACAACAAAAATTTGCACAACGGAACCAAGGGACTCATAAAAACTTCTCGAAAACTAATTACATAATTAAACATAGGGTCTTGTTTCAGAGACTGAAGAACAACACATGTAGTAGCATAGACCTTCACACACTCTTATATATATTGTTTATTTTTTACAATTCATTACTGCCACTTCAATGCAAACAAGTCGACGCCATTATCATGCATCATCGTCCAGATTCAAGAAAACGTGAAGGGTGGAAAGTGATAAGATTTTGTCTAGCGAAATCTTCATATGCTTCTTCCATAAGATCATCATCATCCCATTCATCACGGAATGTCTCTGGTTGATCTCCAAGTCTCTTGTAACCGCGAGTTACTTCTTGGTCTCTCCAATGTTCAACATGAGGGAATCCACATTGGTCTGCTATCCAATTCAGGTACTCACACTACATTCAACAAAATCACTATTAATACTATGCTCTTTTTAAAAAAAAATGTTAAATGTATTTATATATCCTTAAATATCTTATTTGTAAAAGTAACAACGTACCTGTGATTTACCCAACTTATGAGTATATCTTTTGGGAATACCTAACGCTTCTTGTGTTTCATATGATAACTTAAGATCTTCCATCATTTCATCTACGGAAGGAAGTGTAACACGTCCAGACAAAACTGCGGAAACCCATTTGCTTTGGACTTCAAACATATAGAATTGTAGTCCCTGGTTATAAGAATTTGAAGATCAAACCAAGATCAAACTGATGAGTCTTCTAATGCATCAAGAATAGTTTGAATCAGTTGAAGCTAACTAACCATTGCTGGTAAACCAATGAAGGATAGCCCAGGAGCAAGCGCGGGTGCAAAAACGTGCTTGTAGAGAGGTTCAACGCGGTTGTCATCAACCCTCATGTAATTATTGGTTTCAAGAAATGGGAAGTAATACTTGTACCTTCACACATAACCAAAAAAGAAAAAGATGGTAAATCTTACAATTGATTGATGATATTTGCTATGTTTTCTCATCTTTTTATATTAAAGCGGATAATTTAGCACGGAAAGTTAATTACCCGGTACAGTGGACAATAGTATCGGCTTTTACCACCCTCCCATTTTTGAAAACAATGGTACCATCCTCGTGTGCTGTATCTATCTGCAACATATCAACAATAACAAAATGATTAATAGATGCAACCATTTATAAACTATTTTTATGAACTTTTCTAATTGACAAAAAACTTGACAAAAAACAAATTATCAAATTTTTACCTCAGAGTGCATCCAAAGATTGTTATTAGGTACGGGACGCTTTTCGAATGTGTCAGGTCCGCTTGCTCTAGATGCAATATGAACTTCTTTTGCGACTTTAGATATGTCTCTACTAATATCAGCTCCACTCGCAAAGTTACCGATCACCACTACCACCTGGCACCTGCAGAATTTATATGACTTTTTTTTAAGTAAAAACTCTGTTTACAAATTGGGTAGCTTTCAAGTTTTAAGTAATGGGTTACACTGGACTAGGCTATGATTCCAAATAAGTAGATCAGCCCCATAACCATTTATTCTTACAGTTCGTGAGATGTAACTTTTAGTAGTAGTTTGACTTATTGCGTTTACAACCAAAAACCACTAGTATTCTTAATAATTATTTAAGCTTAGATCCATCTAATCATGTACTCCATTCACCTAATTTTCTAAGTTCTAAATCCAAATATTATATCAATAAATTAAGCAAAAATGAATAATTCTCATTGGAGAATTATGTTTTGAGGATACTACTACTATACTACTGAAGATGCAGTTCCAGAACAGCTTGCTGTGGAGATCAGGAAGCTGCATCTGTTCTGTTCAGACGCCTGAGACCACATCAGACGCC